AGCAACCTGTAGCACTTGGGGCGGGGGGCGCACTATGGTTTTTCTTGCCAATTTATCCTGTAATCTTCAACTTTCTTTAGCATCACAAAGTAAATGATCTTTGACTGCATCTATCCCAGGTTCAGTTTCACCCATTCTAATGAATCATATATTCTGGGATCTGTCTTTCCCAACAGTAACATGACAAATCATGGTGTCACCTTGGTGGGTCTGGTTTGATGCACGGTACTCTCTCCCTGAGGCCATGTTAAATTTCATGCCTGCACTCTTTTGCTCATCATAGCAAAGGACAAGTCTGGGTCAGGTGGAACAAGCACAGTGGGGGCCTCTTCCAGTTTATTCTTGGTCCCATTTTCTTCTGTTATCTGGTTTACATCTTTTAATTGGCCTCTATCAATGCTTCCATTTGCCATCTATTTTTCATATATATATATATATCCTACTCACATTTCTATGTTCAGCCTGGCACTGATGCACTCAACTCCCTTCTGTTCTCGTCTTTCTCCTGTCATCTAACTCACAATTCTGAGTCAATACTATCATTTATGTGGCCCTGTAAGCCATTCAGTTGAAGTTCCAGAAATAATCCTAAAATCACTTAACTTCTGATTCCTAAGGATCAATTCTGTGATCAACCTGTTGATGGATGCTCAAGTCATGCCTTTGCAGTTAAATCATTTTTCACACATGGTAGAGAAGCCACAGCTAACTCTCTTCCTATGTCACACATGAGAAGGCCACAGCTTAACTCTTTTCCCATCTAGATGCCTACTGTACATATTAAAGTCCTGCACAAGGCTTAGGTAGATTATATAGGTAAAGCCACCCGTATCTCCCTCTCTCCTCTAAGAGAACTAATGTCTTAAATTTTGTGTTTATGATTCCCAAGCCTATTTTTACTTTATGAAATTATATATCTGTAGAATATGTCAATTGTTCCTTTGGAGATTACCATTGTTTTGAAAGGTCATCATTTTGTGGTGGTGGTGGGTGGTGGCACGGGGATGGTGGAACTGGGGATTGAACTTGGGGGCACTCAACCACTGAGCCACATCTCCAACCCTATTTTGTATTTTATTTAAGATAGTTCCGACTTGCTTAGCACCCTGTTTTTGCTGAGGCTGGTTTTGCACTCACAATCCTCCTGCCTCAGCCTCTGGAGCTGCTGAAATCACAGGTGTGCACCACCATACCCCACTGGAAGGTCATCTTTGATTCACTTAATGCTAACTTAGTCATTTTAACAGCAGAACATATGAATACAGCATAATTTATCCTTTTTTATGTTTATAATGAAATTTGAAAAAAAAAATGTAAACAATGCTAAATATTCTTGCAATGGCTCTCTGGAAAATATGCGAGGATGTTTTTAGGGCATATATCCAAGTGATATTGCTGGTTCATAGGATACGCATGTTTCATTTTTAAATGTACATTGCTGAATTCCTTCACAGGAATTTATATTAATTTGTATCAATTTATATTTTAAGACAGCGCTTGAGAATTACTACATTGTTTTACAACATCTTCACCAACAATTTGATATTGACTTTAAGTTTCACCAATTTTATAGGTGTGAATTACATGGTATTTTGATATTGACCCTACTGATGCCCATCATTGAAACACTTTTCCTCAACACCATTATCTTCTTTTCCTTTTTTTTGGTACAAAGGATTGAGCCCAGGGGTAATTAATCAATGAGCCACATTCCCAGCCCTTCTTAAATTTTGAGACAGGGTCTTGTTAAGTTGCTGAGGCTTTGAACTTGTGATCCTTGTCTCAGGCTCCCCAAGCTGCTGGAATTACAGGTATGGGCTACTGCACCTGGCTTTTGCCTAGTTTTTTTTACTGATTTGTACTTTTTTTTTTTTGGAGCAGTCTTGTCCAGCCCATACCACACACAACTCATTCTTCAACTCACCTACCTCTTCATTTTCAATCTAAACTGAGCCTTAGCTGATGATATAAGCATCTTCACTTAGATGTACCCAAAGCATCTGAAATTGTCTAAAATGGATCTCTTTCCCCCTTAGTTTCTTCTTCCCACTTTATCTGTTTCGAGGCAAAGCATTAAGCCAAAACCCTGGACATCAATGTCAACTCATTTCCTTCTTCATCTGTTAACCTCGTCTGAGGAATTAGCTGATGCAGTCCTACCTTCTTAAACAACTCCCGTTTTCTTGCTTTTCATATTTGCAGTTGTTGTCCTAACTACTTTCTTTCTGGGGCATTCTAAATTTTCTAGTTTTCAGAAGCAAACACTTTGCAGCTAATACTCACCTGGGCTCAACTCCAGATGTTATCATTTATAAACTATGATAAGTGGCAAGTTACTGTATTTCTTCGGCCCTTACATTTCCTTTTAATGGCAATGCCATCTAACTCCTGTGGTGTTTTCCAAGAATTAAATTACAGCTAAATGCCAAATGTCTGCCTGGCACAAAGTAAAGAGTTCAGAGAATGGATTATTTATTTGCCCAACTACAAATCCCGGTAACTCCTGTTCTGCTTCTTATCCCATTGCTAGCAGCACCATTTCAAATGTGCACGGTCTTCAAATTCAACAACTGTCCTACATTTACAAATATAAACCTAGCTTCTTTCACATCATCTCCCCCCACTCCAAGTACCACTGATTCAACTCCACCACTGAGCTATATACACAGATCTTCTGTTTTTTAAATTTTGAAATAGGGTCTCACTAAATTGTTAGGCTGGCCTTAAACTTGCAATCCTCCTATCTCAGTGCCACAATGCCAGGCTACATGCAGTCTCTACACTACCAGGCAAACACTCTCATCCTGAGTTCCACCTATCCTAGAATCATGGTTCCTTTCACAAGATTTATAATAGTGATTCATTCATTTATGGAAAATGCAGTCCTATAATACCTATAGGGGAACAAATGGACACTTGATTCAGGGTTATGGAATATGGATATATGGAATAATATATTTACCTGTTCTTATTTAATATTAATATTAATAATTAATATCCCGATTCTGTTTTGCTCTGGTATTCATTCAAAAACTCAAGGTCCTATCTATGGTAATTATAATTAAAAAGTTGTTTGAATGGAGTCATTACCATACATCTAATAAAACTTGAGAGGTGATTTTTTTTTCTCTACTATCGTCTTTGGTACAATAGTAACAGCATGAAAAGCATGGACTTTGAAACTACAAAAGCTCTTAACCTACATTCTGCTGCTTAATGTAAAGCAAGTCAAACTTTAATATCTTTGCACTTCCACAGTTATTTACCCTTTGATCCTTTGGGAGGGGCAATCCAATATTGTAAAATATTTCGGTAGTTCTCAATTTTGGATCCCTGGGGACAGAAAGGGTCAGAAGAAAAGGAGAGAGAGAAAAAGGAAGGCAAGCCAATCACCAACAGTGACTCCAGATCATATATATCAGAATCTTTGCTCGTGGGCCTGGGTATCATAGTTCCCTTAGGACTCTTAAAGTGTCAAGTTTATGACTTAAATGATTCAACCACCCAACCCAAATTGAGATCAGCATGAATCGAAGGTATTGACTGGCTCTAAGTGTTCAGATAGAAACAGTGGATTCATACCTTGGGGTCTCTTTCTTTGTAATGATTAAAAGCAGAGATACCAGGCTATTAAAAATGTATTCTACATAGATGGTGTTACCAGTACCCTGTTATTTGAAAGAAGAAAAATAGTGATGATCCTCACATAACTTAATTTCAATGGGCATGATGTTACCTGGGTGACTGGTTGCTAAAGAAATGAAGGATGAGTAGATTCACTGCCAACCAATGCCACAAAGAACAGACAATAGAAAATTAGAGGTTCTCCAGGCATCTGCTTCCTACAAGACCAGTTACAACCATTCGTCTGAAAAACTATAGGAGGGGAAAAAAATTACATGTGACAAATATATTCTTAACATAAATAAAGTATAATGGCTCAGAGTATTTTGAGGAAATTCCTTAAGTTCAACAGAGGGGCAAGAGGATGATAAACAAAAATACTACCAATTACAGATAAGGATAAAAAAAGTTGTGAGACTTTGTAGGTGACCTGAAAGTTAACAGTACTTTATTGCTATTTTCTACAATCTGTAGAGCAATAATATGCACAGCAAGCTTAACAAGGATTTAAATATCTACTATGCACTGTCCTAGTCACTATCTTTATATCAGGTACCCAGTGTAAATCCTTAGGCTTTCATACAACACATTAAAAATGGATTTACATGAGTCTGAACCAAAGCATTAATAATTTCACTTCATATTATAATTGGACATTTTTCTCAAATAAAAAGCATCCTAGCAGGTGAATGGAAAAATGCTATGTTAAATGGAATGTTTGAAAAAACAGCCTTTTAAAAAATTTTAAGCCATAAAAAATTACAAGTGAAGGAGTTCGCTCATTCTTAGAGGTCCTTTTTAATGAACTTCTGGACAAAACTATACAACTATGCTAAATACATTTTTAAAAATACTTCTATTAATTTTTTTCACTAAATGAAGAATTAGTATTTAGTATTCCAGAGTTCAGAACTAAGAAGGAATAATGTAGAAGAGAGGGATGTTATTACCTACTTCTTTAAATGGCCATCTTTTTATTTTAAAAGTTAAGCAGTATGACTATTTGAAGGCAAATAAGCAGTTCATAAGGAAAGATGAGAGGTGGTAATTATTAAATAAAATTTTAGAAGCACACTTTACCCATTTGTTTATACTGAAAGCAAGCCATAGGTCCAGAATATACTCGAAAAACAGATTTTTTTTCTAAAAGAAAATAATTTGTACTTATTGAAGCCAAGTTAAATATTTAGCAGCAGTGGAAATGTGTATATCACAGAAAAATTTCAAGCATATTTTCATCATAATCAATTCTTTTCAGTTAAAAAGAATTACACCACTTGTATGGAATAACACAAGACACTTAAACTACAGAAAAATACCCAATTTTTAAAAGATGAAGTACCACAGTATGGTCTGTTAGTTTGCTTATACTTTTGGTATAAGTAGCCTTGAAACAAAGCCTACTTTTTTTTTTTTTGGCCAAAAGAATTCTATAAAGGACGCTGAAGACTTCCAATCTTGTCTGTAGTTGACTAGTTAGTAAAAGTTCTAATATTATCTGAGTTTTTTCTTTCTTCTGGCAATAGTACCAAAACTGACAGTACTTAAAGGCACCTAAATAAATCAACAGTGGGAAACTTCCACTTCTTTTACTATTCCCTCTCCTTTGGCTCATTTCTAATGTAATCATAAAGGGATATGTCCTAATGCAAATACCAGTTTGCGCTGGTATTTATATATCTAGGGAGTATATAAAAGATACTCTTCTGTGCTGCTAAAATGGAGCATTATTTTCTCTAGAACCTCCTCATAGTACAAATATTTAATTTCAAGATCCATCTCATAGGTTGCATGCTGAAAGTTAAAAGTGCAATTTGATAAATAATTTTCCAAAAATGTTTCATCGCTACAGGTTGAGAGATTTTTGAATGTCAAAATTGAAACAAAATTTAATGTTTTGGCATCCCATGTTACAATACAGTCATAGCCATTACACGGGATCTTGTTTTTAATTTAGACTTAGTAGCAGATTCAGCAACAGTTATTAAGAAACAGAATATTAAGAAACCTTATCTTGGGGCTGGGGTTGTGGCTCAGAGGTAGAGTGCCTGCCTAGTATGCATGAGGTTCGATCCTCAGCACCACATTAAAAAAGAAAGAAACAAACCTTGCCTTAGAGGAAAAAGGAAAAAGGAAGAAAAAAAAAGCAGCAGCAGCAGCATGAGCTAATAAAATAGGAAGACTACACTACTTTCCACCAGAAAGTTCTTTGAATTTTCCTAATTTCAGAATTCAAGGCTGGCAATTTTCAAAGACAAGGATATACTTACACAAGTATGTCTTGTATATACCCATCTTTTTCATTTTTTAGCTTTTCCCACACATGGTACACATGGCAGCTGAAATATTCCTAGAAATTGTACAGAAGAGAGATTTCCCTGAATTTATTGTAACCTACCTGAATCTGGACCGCACTGTTCTGACCTCTTCACAGTTTTCGTTTCACAGCTCTAATAAGCAACATACCACAGAGTACATGCAAACACTGAAAAACAGGGCCTGATACAGCCCACAGAAAAGCTCTTCACTAACATCGGCACTACTTTTAGTCATGCCATGATAGATCATACTTTATTGTTGCGCATAATAAATACAGAAAAAATGGTGAAAATGTATGACTCAGAACTATCTAATTAAAGCTGAGTAAACTCACCTAGTCAAGATTTTAGTCTTCCAATGAGAAATGACAAGAGTAACTGAATATAAAGAAAAACGAAAAGAACTTTACTTTCCTATGTTAATACAGGTCAAGGGACCCTTTCTTATCAAAAGGGTTAATAACACCAGTTCTTAGCAATAAACATAAGGCACTTGTTTAGATTACAATATCACTGCAATTTTTTCCACTTGTTTTCTAACCCTGTTTTTCCCCCACAGTATCATTGGAAATTAATGAATGAGGCAAATATGAGATGATTTAGTTGATACTTCTTAGAGCAAGAGGGTACAGTACACAATATTTTAGGGGTGATGTCTGGACATAAAATGAACCCAGTCAAGGTCCTCTGACACCAGACAATGTATCCACTATCAAGTAAACCTGAAAGAAAATAAAAGATTTATTCAATAGTTTCCAGTAAAATCGGGTTGGAATACAATATACATGTTAGGAATTTAGCTCCCCATGGGTGGCATCTGCATTTAGAGTTCTGAGTACTTTTCATTCTAAGACAATCTACATCATTTGAACATTGTCAAGACATATAGATGAATTTCATTTCAATATACAGTAGAGTTTAAACAGAATTCACACACATACCCCCTACATATGGCTGGTGCCTCCTCCAAACACCTTATTAGTGGCAGAGGTAGCACTAGTGTTCTTTCCCAACAATAAGAACTTCTGTTGCCACTCATAGGAGAAGTTAAAAAAAAAAAAGTTTATTTTTTTGCCATCTGTTAAGATGTTCCTGAGACAGGGCCAGTTAATAAAACAAAACAAAGCACTGGAGTTCTGTTTGTAATTTTCTTTTTATCACTAAACTGTTAGACTGGGATGTGGAATGCAGGTCATGTACTATGAAAGAATCAATGAAACAATTAGGACTTCTGAAAATTCCCTTTAGAGTATACACTCTATATACTAAAAGTACTACAAAAAGTTCAATTATATATACAGCTGACTCATTTTACTTAATCTTATTTGCTCAGATCTTGCAAATGCAATGAGAATATTGAGCCTGAGGCTAGTTCTCAGTGTACAGGTTTGACATGTTTAAGGCTCATTTTTCCCAGTCAAAGTAGCAGTTTTGTTTTCCTTTCAGAGTATGAGTTACATTCATAGTACCTGCCACCATCCCACCCTCAATGAAGCCTTAATGTAGGGGCACATTACACTTCATTACGGAACTTCCCTGACACCAGCATCAGCCCATTCTAAAAGCGCCCACTGCACTAGCTTGACAGTGCGCTACATGGCCTCTGGCTTGCACCTCTGTTTCCACCTGTGTATTTTCACAGAAGCCCAAAACAGATTAGTGGAAATATTCACACAACTGTTTTTCAAAACAATTTATTGCATCATATTTGGTACCTTATGTTTGACAACAAAAAAGAAATTACATCTGTAACTGCAGGAAAAAGAAGCTGGTCTGTTATTGGAAAAAAAAAATCTTGGGCCCTTTAAAAATTACAAAGTCTTGGGCTTGCCTGAAACAACTGAGCAAGAAATATATTCTTAGAAATGTAGGGCTTCAAGTATTACAAACCTGTGACACTGTGGAAAAATTCCAGAGGTATCTAAACTGCAGCACTTTTTTTTTCTGCATATCGTGAACAAGGCCTGCTGAGGTTTTAACTATTAGTCTCTTGATCAGTCATAGAATGGTAGTCAGGAGTTCTGTCTGTAACTTCAAGCCATGGTGGATTTTCTTTTTTCACTCTTGGGTGAAAAATTCATGCTTGCTAATTAGTTGGTGCCACATCACAGTGCATTTGGTTCTTGCATTACAGTTTTAACAAGTTTGGCCAAAACAATGCTAAAAGGTTTGCATTGTTATTTTAGTTCTTCAAGTTTTAGTTAAAATTGAGATTGTTCCAACTGGTTCCTTCAGTTAAAAACTGTGGTACAAGAACACCAAACTGATCATGTACAGTGAATTTTGGAAACACAACAAGCGTATTGAACACCTCCTAGGTTTCTTATAATCCTGCTTGGTATCTATATGTCCCAGTTTCTACAACATCAAGCATCTGTTGTAGATTTCTCCGTAAATAGTGATTCACATTGCATACTTCCTATGGTCAGAATCAACCCCGTAACAAAATCAGTCAGATGCTAAAGCCCCAACAACTCTTTGTGCTCAGTGAAAGAATCCAGTGCTAAAACAGCATTTATGCTGTCTGAGATATAGTAAAATCTCACAAGACAAATTTAAAGTAATATTTCTGCCACACACCTGCTTTGTTAGCTGTAATAGCCTCCAGATTTTATATAAATTAGTTTAAAAACATGGTGGGTAGGTAGGAATAGGATAAGGTATCTTTTTTTTTTTTAATCCCTCAATTTTAGCAGCTTTTAATTTTTTAAGAAACTGAACCTATGTCCTGTAATGTTAGATATCTTATATATACTTTTTCAGCAGGATAAAAAAACGTAAAACACTATTTGAAGGCAAGAACATTTACTCCTCTCATTCTGTGTAAGTTAGAGCAATGCAGCAGGTGCGTGACAAAAATATTATACACTAGATATGGTCCAAAATCATCCATTTTCTTGTTTAATGATGTTCAAATTTCATTGGCCAGTTCTTCGGTTTCTGCAGAACTATCTCCATTAACTGTGATCTTCATATCCTCTTCATATCCAGGAGGCATAAAAGCCAAAGCATAAGGGAAAAGCTTATGACAACTTGCTCTATAAGCTTCAGCAGCTTCTTTACAGTCTCCTAGGCTACCAACACACAAGGCTTCTAATACCTCCATACAAGTCTAAAGAGAGAAGAAAGGTCATGTTATAACTTGTTCAAAAATGGACTTTTTTGTGAATTCATGAGACATTTTGACATTAACCGATTTCTAAAATTAAAAAAATAATAATTATTTAAAAGGGAGGAACATACTAAAAAGGAAAAAAATGTACTCCTGTGTACACATTCTATTAGAATGTTCTTCAAGGCCTTCAAAGTATTTCTTGCAAATTGCAGGGTTTATACAAAAAGCATAGAGACAAATAAATGAACAAGGTCAGGACTAGGGTGAGACAATGTATACAAGGTGCTGAATTTAAAGGAACACTCAGCAAGTGCATGACCCTTCACTTCATACCTACCCTAGCCTTCTGTATAAATGTCAAAATTTACAATGCCAATGCCAATTAACACATGAAAGCATTCTGAATATTTTGGAGGCTTATAGCCAGCCAGCAAAATCAAACACTGGTTTCTCAATTAAGGAGCATCTTAAGGAATATGCACAAACTAAGCACAAACCAAGAAAAACTGGGTTGATGAAAACAAAACAAAAACAAAACAATGATTCTTTCAGTCACTCCCTAAGTAAGTTTGTTTCTTATATTTTTAAATGATTCATGCTGAGTTGTATTTCTCATGTTTTCTTTATCTTTTCACTTAGAAAACACTATTTAGGGGGCTGGGGATGTGGCTCAAGTGGTAGCGCGCTTGCCTGGCATGTGTGTGGCCGGGGTTCGATCCTCAGCACCACATACAAAGATGTTGTGTCTGCCAAAAACTAAAAAATAAATATTAAAAAATTCTCTCTCTCTTAAAAAAAAGAAAACACTACTTAGGCCAGGCACAGTGATGCACACCTGTAATCTCAGCGACTTGGGAGGCTGAGGCAGAAGGATAACAAGTTCGAGGCTAGTCGGAGCAAGCTAGTGAGACCCTGTCTGAAAATAAAAAATAAAAAGGGCTGCAGATATAGCTCAGTGGTAGAGCACTTCTGGGTTCAATTCCCAGTACCCAAAAGGGGGGGAGGGGCTGGAAAACACTATTTAGTTTCTAGATAACATAGTACCCTATAAACTTCGCCAAGCTATCAAAGACCTTAAATCCAGGTTCTAATCTAAATGATGCATTAATTTACAACCAACAAGTTTAATTATTCCTTTTTATTTGTTATTAAATGAACATGAAACTATCATCAATAAAATTGTCTATCAGGTTGATTATAACATGAGGCAGCTGTCCTTTGTTTTTAATTTAAACTAGAAGTAACATTTTGCCATATCCTCATAATATATATTTTGTTCTATTTAAGTTTTTTAACTTAGTTCCTGGTAAATAAATCATAAGTAGGTAATAATCTTCACTGAGACCACTGCTAACTCAGAAAAGGTGAATTAGTTGAAACCCCCAAATAACAATAGAATCTCTCTATAACTTTACAAAAACATATCTCTAAAATAGTTATTCCAATTTATAGATGTAAAACTCATTATGAAATGTCAGGTACCCTGGTGCATGCACACACACACTCCTAAATAAATTTAAGATAAGCTGTTTCTGATACAAATTCATAATGGTTTAGAGAATATTATACAAAAATAAAGAAACAACAATTATTTCTCTTGGTGACTAGAGAAAAGGTAGTTAGGTTTTCTTACACATTATTTCAAAACTCTTTACCTGGAGATTTCTGTTAGTGAGGGATTCATCAAGGGTTGTTGCCAATTCTATAGCTCGTTTCTGACTAGAAGGATCTAAATAATATACCATTTTGGCAGCTAAAGGAGAGGAAAAAACGAAATTTATTTTAAGGTAAAACCATTATCTTATCCTCTACTCAAATATAAAATGCAGGATATAGGTGCACATAATGTATTATTACATATTAAAAATGGAAAGACTGTAATTTAAAAAACAAAACAAAAATCCTGAGAAACAGTCTAACAGTCCAGAGTAGGAGAAGAGATTATAATACATTAGCAATAAAACACTATGTATTTGGAAATGTGCACAAGGAGATAAAGAAATACAAATATTCTAATCATAATTGCCTTTATGTGGTGAAACCATGGAAAGTTTTCTTTCTAAAATAAATATAAGGATTTGGTGGTGAAGGGAATACTTTGGTGGTGAAGGAGAGGGAGGTGAAGAGAGGCTACCAAATCTCCATGGTGTGAGACAAAAGCTGAATTCAGGTTTCCACAAAAGCAATAATAGCTGCTGGGCTTCTTAGCCAGGAATTTAAAAAGCATACCACTAAAGCACTATCCACAAAGTCCCATAAAGTCCCGACCTTGGTTCTTGGACACAGACCTTTTACCCTTAGATTTTGTGAACTATGAGATGATTTCAGGTTCATCATTGCTAAATTTGATACCTACATAAGCATGAGAAATGGGATATGAGGGTCACATGGAGAGAATCTGAAGAGCACAATGAGGGAAGAATGAGAAGAAAGCAAGCTCCACCTCCATTGTTATGTATAAGTTTATATTCAATTATATTTGTTTGTTTGTAATGCCAATGGTGAACTAGGAGAAACAACTGGTCTTGATTTAAGTTTAATTCTATAAAAACAGGCAAATTTAAGTTGCCTGTTTTTATAGAATTAAAATGTAACAGGCCTCCTCCTAGGGGCTGTCATAAGGAGAGTTTTGTTCCTGAGCTATCCCTTCCACCACAATATTCTGCCTCACCTTCGCAATCATGAGCTAAAATAAACTTTTCCTCTTCTAAGTTATTGGGTTGTTTTGGCTTTTTTAAAAAAATTTTTTTTAGTTGTTGATGGACCTTTATTTATTTATTTATACGTGGTGCTGAGAATTGAACCCAGTGCCTCACACATGCTCAGCAAGCGCTCTACCACTGAGCTAAAACCCTAGCCCCTCTAAGTTGTTGTCACAGATTTTGGTCACATTAATGAAAAGCTGACATTAACACAGAAATTGGTACAAAGATGTAGGGTCATTGTTGTGACTAACCCATCAGTCTTTGAAACTGCTTTGTAGGAACAATTTGAAAGTATGGGGATGCAGGCAAGGGAAGCCATAGAATACTGTAAGCACAGTTTAATGGGCAATTTTGGAGTGAGCTTTAAAGACCAGAATAGACATGCTCTTGAGGTTTTTCAGATGCACTAATTGTTAAATTTGGTGGAGGAAATTTCAAAGCAGCATAGCATGCAGGCAGTGGCATAGATACTGCTGAAGCTTTTAGCCATCTTTACTGTTGAGAATTGGGAGTAGAAAGCACAAAAGATTTGAAAGTCTTGCAGTTTGGCTAGGAAAGACTGTGAAACTGGTACCAAGGAAAATGTGATTGCTGAAGAGAATACCACCACCAAAGAGAAGCTAGGTACTTAGCACAGACTAACAGGAAAGATGTCTTGAGGGCATGTCAGGAATTGGCAAGACTCAAGTGTGTATAAGTGAAAGCTTGTTTGGAATATGTTACATCCAGGCTTCCTGAAAAGTGGTTTCCCCAGGATTCAATTTACCATGTTCAGCCACCCAGGCACCCAAAGGCTTCATTCAGCAGCAGTGGCCCAAGGAGGCCCAGATATTGCCTGAGCAGGTAGCAGACCTTGACATCATCCACATGCTGCTGGTTCTGCAGGAAGACAGGATGCTGCTATAAGGGGTCATAGAGGCTTCCACTCAGATTCAAAGGAAGGCCTGGGGGCTCAGGCCAGTGTGCCAGAGGCAGAATCCCTGTAGGCATCCCAACAGAGTGATGTGTGAGGCTTGGAAAAAAAAGCCAAAGCTGAGGTAAGGATCCCTGGGATTAAAAGAGACCAAGAAGGCTGGGATGTCTGCTGAGGAAAGTTGAAGAAAGTGAGCACAGGCCAAGAGAGAGGCCATATGTGCTACAATGAACCAGGCTACAGGGATGGGACTGTCTAAACCTTCTGGAGATTATATGTCACCACCATGTGTTCCAGATGCCAGATATGGAGCTACAGGACATTTGTGTTTCAGTCTTGCTTTGCCCTATCCCTTCTTTCTACACCTCTATGCCTTTCATTAGGAACAGAAATCTTTACTTTGTGCCACTATATATCAGATGCATCTAACTTTGCTTTCGATCTTACAGGGGCCCACAGACAAGAGTTTACCTTGAGTCTCAGAGGAAACATTGGACTTGGACTTCTGGGCAATGCTGAAACTGTTAAGACTATGGGAACTCCTAAAGATGAATTGAATATATTTTGCAATGTGAAATGGACAAGAACTTTTGGGGCCCTGGAGCAGGATGGTAGTTTGAATCTGGGAATATCCCCTGCAAAAATCTCATGTTTTGAAAGCATGATCCCCAATGCAGAAATGTTCAGATGTGAATGATTAGATTATGAGAGCTGTGAGACCTCATAAGTGGATTAATCCATCTGATGAAGTAATAATTTCAATGGACTACTGGGTGTTAACTGTAGACTGGTGGAGTGTGGCTGAAAATAGCAGGTCACTGGAGGCATGATCTTGGAGATTGTATTTTATTCCAGGCTTGGACCACACATGTTCTGTTGTGAGGTGACAACTTCCCTTCACCATGATGTTCTGCCTCAGTTCAGGCCCGGGGCAATGGAGCCAGCTGACCATGGACTGAGACCTCTGAAATCATGAACCCAATATAACTTTTTCTCCTCCAAGTTGTTATTGTTAGGTATTTTGTCAAAACAAGAAAAAGCTGACTACACAAATCTCTCTTCTTAATACTCAGCTAACTCTTAGACCCCTTTATAGATATAGCCAGATCTCACCTCCTCCTCACATCTGCATCTCTTCAACAGGGCTAACACCTGTGCATGCCTCTAACATTTTTCCATATGGAATTCTGTAAACATTACTATTAGGTCTAATAAAAATAAAACATGTTCTTTTTTTTTTTTTTTAAAAATGCATATTCCCTCTTCTAAGCTTAACTTATCATTGTTCCATTAAAATACTGAAGTTGTTTTAGAAAGCTGAAAAAAGACAAAGTAAGGTGATTACCTGATAATCTGTGAGGCAATGAATCAGAATTCCTTTTCAGAAAAGTTTCATTAAAATTCTTTGGATTCGTTGCTCCAAAAAGACGATTCATTTCTTGTTTTAATACTGTTCTAACTGTATCAGGCAAATCTTTACTTTCACACACTGTTGAATAAAGTAAAGTAAACTCTCTTAGCATTTAGATATTTTGATACAAAGTTTTTAGTACTTAAATTATCTACTTGATGAGATCAATGAAACAGCCACTATACACAAATACCAACACCTATGGATATTTCAACATCTAAAGAGCTTACCTACAAAAATTTAAATGATATGTAGTATTATTTTCTTACTTTTTCCTTCCATATCCACGTAAATTTATCAATTAAAACAAAAATAAAAACATGGTTGACTTCAGTAACCTTTATCTCAAGGAACTATATGAACTGAGCTATTTATAAAAAGCTCTTTAAAGAACCACCAAAGCATTTTCCTATAATAAATACACTGGAGTCATCATATTCTCATTGGACTTTGGAAGTGAAAAAGTAGACCCCAATCTCTCTAGACTAAATCCAAGTTATGCTTTGTTTCATTGTTATTTTGGTACAGTCTGGAGCTTTATAGCTAGACAGACCTGGGTATAGATCTAGGCTTGAATAAGTTATAACCTCCTTGAATCTATTTACTGATATATAAAATGGGGAAATAGCTAAACTAGAAAAACTGCAGGAAGAAAAAGCTATGTATAAAAATGCTAATTAGTGTGTAATAAATTGTAGTTACTATTTTTACCACAGTCTGAAAAGAATAAGTAGATTTTTCATTATGGCTAAGAACTAATGTGGTGGCTTCCAAATTTTGACATGCAATTATTTATCTATACTGGGACAAATATACATTCCATATCCATAGTATGTGCAATACATGCTGGCATTTTCTGTAATGTCCTATTTGAGGTTTTTAAATGCTAGTAATGTTCCACTGATAACTGATCTCATTATTCCACTAATGGATCATGACCCTAAAAGTTCTAACGCTAAACTCTGAAGGGGTAAACATCTAAGTTAACTATTCTACACAAAATTATTAATTGAATAATTCATTGATATGCCCTTTGTTGGTTAACAGCAAACTAAACATTTTAGTAGCTCATTTATTTGAACTGGATGGCTCAAATAAATGAGCTACTAAAAAGTTTAGTTTAATCTTCAATGCCACTGTACTTTCAAATTTGTTTTGGCAATTTATCAATACTTGTTTCTTAAGGAAGAAACAAGTTGTTTTTGTTTGTTTTTTAAAGGTTCTGAATTTATTAGACACAAGGAAATAACAGGTTTAGACTAAACTACAAATAGAGCTCAAACTGCTCATAAATAGCAACTGGGCTTACTTGGGGGTAGAAAGAAGGGAAATTCTTCAGACTACTGCACAAGGACACAGACTCCTCACCCTAAACAAAGTATTAAAGAGTAAACAGGAAAATTTCTGGTAAGACAGAAAACAGAAAAATCCACATACTAAATAACATGTCCATAATGACTTAACACATCCCTTAGGGTTAAGCATGCATTTGTAGGAAGCAAACAATGCTTTCCATAGAAAGAAAAGTTGTCAAAATAGGTTAGGGCCAATTAAAATGAACATTACCTCAAAAATTATAGATCTTGTATTAAACACAAATTATTTCCAGGGACCTTGGTGGTATACCTAAAATGTTTTTGGAAACTACATAAATATCAAGGGGAGGGGCGCTTTATAATTTTTATTACCTACATTAGTTTATTTCCCTCAGACTAATATCCCCAGAAGAACCAAAACTGCTAAGAATCCTACAAAAGTAAAAACAACCTACAAATACATATGTAACAAATCATATACACAAAAACTTCCATTCTTACTAATAGTTGCTTATGAAACCATTACTTCATTTACAATTTTACAAAAATTCACTTAAAATTTTTTTTAGTTGTAGATGGACACAATACCTTTATTTATTTATCTTTATGTGGTGCTGAGGATCGAACCCAGTGCCTCACATATGCTAGGCCAAGTGTTCTACCACTGAGCTACAACCCCAGTCCCACAAAAATTCATTTTTAAAAAAATCATATAGATTTTAAGGGTAACTTCCAGGAAGATAGCAACAATATCCCCCGCCCACCACCAACACCACTATAAGAAATGCCTTACGAAATTCCTTTATTTCTTTTCCCCTTGGTACTATGGACTCAACTTAGGAGTTCCCTACCACTGAGTTATATCCTTAGCCCTTTGCTTTTGTTTAACTGTTAAGTCAGGGCCTCACCAAGTTGCTCAGGCTGGCCTCAAAGTTGGAATCTTCTGCTTCGACCTCCCTAGTTGCTAGGACCACAGGCTTGCATCACCATTTCTGGCTGGCCCATGGAATTCTAAGAAAGGAGCAATATCTAGGCTAGGGCTGTAGCTCAGTGGCAGAGCTCCTGTCTTACACTTCTGAAGCACTGGGTTCCATCCTCATTGCCACATAAAAATAAATATAGATACGGTGCCCATCTAAAACTTAAAAAAACATATTAAAAAGAAAAAAAGAAAGGAGTAATGTCCCATGGGACAGGTTTATTAGAGGACCTATTGCTGCTAAAGACTAGTGGGCAAACCAGGTGCAGTGGCGCAGTCCTGTAATCCTAGTGGCTCTGGAGGCTGAGACAGAAGAATTCAGAGTTCAAAGCAAGCCTTAGCAATAGCGAGATGCTAAGCAACTCAATGAAACCGTTTCTAAATAAAATACAAAATAGGACTGGGGATGTGGCTCTGTGGTTGAGTGACCACGAAACGAGTTCAATCCCTGTTCCCAAAAACAGAGGAGTAAATAAGTCACATGAATCAAAGAACAATAACTGAGGAGAGGTTGGCTGGGGGTGAAACAACAAAATTTCTTCTAAGGGGTCTCTGATTTGGATCCTATTATATCTTAAAACTAAAACAGTGTTTTATTCAAGCTATTAATTTATCAGCAGACAGAATTAATTAAGTAATCATCAATGATTATAAGTTCCACTAAAAGGCAAATCTAAGCAAAAGGAGTTGCCTTAAGTTACCAGGCCAGCTGTCATTATTAAAAGTTTGAGCTGTGTGCAATGGTGCACATATCTGTAATCCCAGGGCTCAGAGGTTGAGGCATAGGATGCCGAGTTCAAAGCCAGCCTCAGCAAAAGTGAGGCGCTAAGCAACTCAATGAGACCCTGTCTCTAAATAAAATATAAAATAGGGCTGGGGATGTGGCTTAGTGGTCAAGTACCTGTGAGTTCAAATCCCTAGTAGCCGCCCCCCCCCAAAAAAAGTTTGGGTTGAAAAAATGCTCATATTTTCAAACTATGGGTTACTAGCTTGTAGGACAATCTACTAAATGATTACCACTGATATAGCAAAATAAATGAGAATATTAAACAGAATTAAATAAAATGATAAAAGATCAAAGGACATTTGAGATGAAACACAAATACAAAAGAAAAGTAATCTTGGCAGATAAAAAATGAGGCGGTACAAATGAGAAAGAAAAGAGATATAAAGTTCATTGTGGAGCCAGATAGCCAAATAGTACTAATTTTTAAAGTATTTAAGAGAATATAAACCTGTTTAAAAAAAAAAAAAACTAGACAAACTGAATATTAATATATAAACTTCTGTCTTTTACTTAGTACTGGTCAAAATGTAATTAAAGTTGCTTAAGTTTACAATAGTAAGCTGGAGGTGGGGCACGTGCCTGTGATCCCAGTTTCAAGAGGATGAGGTAGAAGGATCCCAAGTTTAAGGCCACTCTGAGCAACTTAGTAAGACCCTTGGTAATTTATCCAGATCCTAACTCAAAATAAAAAGAGCTAAGAAGGTAGCTCAGTTGTAAAGCACTCCTGGGTTTGATCCCCAGTACCATAAATAGAAATAAAAATAAATATTTGATAAAATATACATTCACTTCAAGAAAATTTTACAACTAATAAAATAGTTATGTACTCTGGTTTTTTTCTTCCATACTCCCCAGAAAACTGTGCTCATGTGTACAGTTATCTTTGTAAAGGAATTATAACCAATACTTAACACGACAAATGTATTCCTGAAAAGTTACCTCTAAATCAAAGTACTAATTATATTATTTAAAGATATCTTGGAGCATAATAAAAATGCCCCTACTATCTTATATTCTGTAGTTTCACAAATATTCACTCTTCTTCTTAACAAAGGGAATAATAAACAGACTACCCAAATTCTTAAAGGTCTTTTAAGAGATAGCACATCTCTATCACTACAAATAATCACTGCCTATATTCAAAATAAGGATTACTTTGTAAAGGCTCTTTGTAACAGTAACTTCAGCTGCACACCTAGAGCAATAACATAGCACAGATGTGATAATTTTAACTACTTATTAATGCGATAATTTTAACTACTTATTAATAATTCTAAGTCCATATGCATTTTAATTCTCTAAAAATAATCTGTAGAAAGAGAAGTCATGTCAATCAACCTTCACTACTACAAGCAAAATCATTTAAATGGGAGATGGGATGGGTACAGGGGATTGAACTCAGGGGCACTCAACCACTGAACATCTCCAGCCCTATTTTGCATTTTATTTAAAGACATGGTCTCACTGAGTCGCTCAGCACCTCGCTTTTGCTGAGGCTGGCTTTGAACTCACATTCCTCCTGCCTCAGCCAGTGGATTATAGGCATACACCACCACACTTGGCTAAATATGTAACTTTCAATGCATTATTTAAAAAAAGTCTCAAGCTTAGAAGGATTTCCATCCTACTAATTCTAACCTTAAATTCTGATTCATGATTTTAAGAATTTTGCTGTTGGGACTGCGGGGGTAGGACAACAGTCCTGGGGATTGAACCCAAGGACCTTTTACCACTGAGTGAGCTATAATCCCAGCCCTTTTCATTTTTTATTTAAAGACAGTCTCAATAAATTGCCCAGGTTGCCTTCAAACTTATGATTCTCCTGCTTCAGCCTCCCCTGTTGCTGGGATTATACATGTATGCCACCATATCCAGCTTTAAAGTTCTTTATTAGCAACCCAAAAAAGACTAATAAGGAAGTGTCTTTATTTTCCCCAAAATACAGAAATTCTTTCATTTTCTAACATGTTATCTATAATATTATAACTGATAAATTTTTAAAATTGAGAACATTTCTGTAATTCCATTTCTAAAAAGGTTTTATTTTTTAAAACCATAAATATAATATTTTTTGAAAAAATTTAACCTTTACCTTATCTGTTTTTATGTGATGCTGAGGCTCAAACCCAGTGACTCACTTGTGCTAGGTAAGTGCTCTACCATTGAATTACAACCCCAGCCCCTCATAAATATAAATTTAATAAGGCTTTACTTCTGCTTGGAAGTCAAAGTAAATTTAGCACCTTTTTTTATTAGTGTTGGGGATGGTGGGGGTTCGGGGAGGGGCACTGTGTTGCTGGGGATTGAACCAGGGCTTGTGCAAGCTAAGCATCCACTTCATCACTGACCTAGACCTCAGTCCAAATTCAGCATCTTTTTAAAATGTGATTGAAATGCTTGGTTTAATTTCATCACTTTTATACAAATGTATGGAGCCGGGTATGAGAGAGCAAATTTAATATCATTTCAAACTCTGTATATTGTTCTGTATTCCTTTTTTACTTAAAAACCAAAACCGAAATCCAAAAGGTTTTGAGCACTGAACAAATTACCACAAATGGAAAATTTCGTATCTGTCTTATCTGACAAGTCAAAAAACACAATTCACTAAAAATACTGTATAAAATTTTCTTCAGGCTAATATGAGTTGTATATGAAATACAAATAAACTTTATGTTAGACTTGGGCCCCGTCCCCAAGATACCTCAATTTATGTACAAGCAAATTCCTCAGAATGAAAAAAATCCCAAAACTGAAACCCTTATGGTCCCGGGCATTTCAGATAAGATACTTAACCACAAGAGAAAGAACAAATGGCTATAGTCCCTATTTCATTACTAAGTAGTTATTTTACCTAGAATTAATTATTTAATCTTTTAGGGTTCCAGATTTCTTAAGTATAAAACAAGAGATAATTAGGGGGGAAAAAAACCTACTTTTGGGTTTGTAAAATTCCATGGTTCTATTTCACACTAAAATAAATGTACTGATCTGTCAAAATATTTCAAGGGCACAGATGATGATGTTTGAAGTAACAAAACAATCTATGACTTAATTGTGCTAAGCAAACCTAATTCTTACAAATTGAGGTCTTTAAGAGATAATAAGGAGAAAACTAATCAATTTAAAAGAGAACCTTCAATTTTAAAACAATTTAGTAAGGTACTTTATATAATGAAACATAATTTAACACTTCAACTTATGTGACTTTTTTTTTTTTAAAAAAAACAACCAAAATGAGTCTCAAATACCTGGGCTAAAAAATAATGTCCAAATCAGGTAACATCTGTAGCTCTAAAATAAATGCCTTCATTAAAAATAAAAGTGCCCTGGCTTTCCCCTCAGCTAACTTAATGTACAAAAGTTTTTAAATTACTGAATTTATGATAATATTATACAGATTACTTATACAGAAAATATCAACTACTATGTCAACTACTATAATCAAATATTTTAGTAATGGAAAATAAAAACATACCAGTACTAAAGAGTCGAATCATACACTCATGAAGCCAGGGATGACTAGAATCAATAGCAAATGCCCTTTTTACTGATTGTAGCATCAAAAGAAATTTTTCTGTAAAAAAGAAAAAGATATAGTTTGAACATCTGATAAATTGCCTCCTGTGGGGAGCCAAGACCTTACAAACTGAAAAAATAAATTTAGACTCCATCACAACTAAACTGACTAAAGCAAACAATTTTTCTTCAATTAGCAACATATTTTTCATTAAGAAAAGGTTTTACAAAATAGAGAAAACCTTCACAGCATTTAGAAATATTTGAATTAATGCCTATAAACAAAGAAAGAAAATTTGAAGCTATTTCCTAATTTCCTTTAATCAAAATAAAGAAATGTATGTACGTCCTTCTTTTGATCTATTAATTTATTAATGATTCCCCTTCTACCTAACTGTTCCTTTCCTTTCCTGATTTCTCTGCCATCTCTATAGGTTTGAGACCACCTTGGTTATATTTTCAGTCAATTTCTAATTTTTCCCTATGAGGTGCCCATTCTCAACTTCTATCTTTCCCAAGCTTCAGTAGCCTTTCCACCTGTTAAATGGAAATCTTCACTTGAATACTCAGTCTACTTTCATGTCGTCTTTATAATCATTTCTTTGTAGAGACTTCTTTAATTGGTACCATTTCCCAAAGTACAAAACTCCAAGTTCTTCTGACTATTCTTTTTCCGTTCCCCATAATACTCAGGAAGCTTAAAACACAGCCCTGCTCTGTCATTACACATTTCACACTACTACAGTGGATTCCAAATGTTGGTTCCTTTTCTGAGTCAGCACGCAGCCAAGAAACTGTGTGGGGGCTTTAGATTATCCCTCCTCACTTTAAGCAGAGCAGCTTTTGTACTCTATATTTTGGAGTTCCATCTGATAACCCCCTGCTTTTTTTTTTTTTTGGTACCAGGGGTTGAACTCAGAGGTGCTTAACCCCTGAACCACATCCCCAGACCTTTTTAATTTAGAGACAGGGTCTCATTAAGTTGCTTACGGCCTTGCTAAATTGCTGAGGCTATCCTCAAACTTGTTATCCTCCTGCCTTAGCCTCCTGAGTTGCTGGAATAATATGCATACTCAGCACATCTAAGAACATTTATAAAGAGGAGAGCTGTATTAAATGTCAAAAATTTGAATATTGCTATTTATTAAATTTATTTTCTAATTTATAATCACTATGAAAAACAGAAAATACAGTAAAAAATATATTTGGAAAATCAAAATTTTTATCAAGAGACCATATCTATTATCTTTTGTTTTCTTCTCAGTTTCTTCTAATCCATAGTAAGTTTTCTATATCCTATTTCAAAACTGTATTATGCCTGGGCAAGTGGCACATGCCTGTAAGCCCAGCAACTCAGGGAGACCCTGTCTCAAAATAAAATATAAAAAGAGCTGGGGATGTGACTCAGCAGTTAAACACCCCTGAGTTCAATCCTCAGGACAAAAAAAAATCTGTTATCATGTAGCAACTTTCCCCCAAGAATTTAATTTAAAAAAATTAAAATTAAAATTAAATGTCTAATAAATTGCCCAGGCGGGCCTCCAATTTCTGGGTTCAAGTGATCCTCTTGTGCCAGCCTTCCAAGTAGGAGGGACATAAAAAGGCATACCCTGTCAAACCTGGCTTTTCAACAATTTACTTTTCTGATGTAACAACCTCCTGTCTTCATTAACAAAAGTTCTTCTTCAAAATGCATCACCTCGAGATAAATTTAATAGCTTCTTCCAATGGAGTTTTTAATGAAGCAGTTGGATTACATCAATTCTGTACAATAAAAACCTATTATCTACTATATATAGTCTCAGCATTCTGAGACTAAAAACCAGGACCCTTATCTTTTACCTTGCTCCAAAGATATATAGACAACATCAACATATTCATACACTCCTGTGTTTTCTTAATGGGTACTCTTCCCTTCTATGTATCTTTTAACTTTGAACACGATTCATCCTTCCAGATCCAACCCAAAATATCTTCTATTTATAACAATAGCTAATAACAGGTAACATTTATTTGATGCTTACTATGGGATAAACACTATTCTGAGCATTATATACAATAGCTGATTTTACCCAATCATCAGCTACTTCACTGAACCATATATTTGACCTTAAACCTAGTTTATCTATATTATCTATTATTGATTTTAATGTCTTCGTAATGGTAACTGTATCATTGTCATTCCCCACAACATTCTGCACACGGATGGCATTTCTGTAAGGATGCTACAATCATTTGTCCAAAAAAAGCCTACAAAGGTAAAGCTATCTGAAGTGTGTCTCTATACCTAAGAAAAACAGTGATCAGTTTTATCAGGGCCACAACAAGATAAATGCCTACCTTTCCTAAAGTAAATTTCAAAGGCAAAAAGATGAGTTTCTATCTTGTTCTTCACCAAGTTCTTCAATGGTGTTAAAAATTTAATAGCTTCTTCCAATGGAGTTTCAACCTAACAAAAATAAAAGATATTATACAAATGTAAAAAAAGATTCTTGGAGAATGTGATTTTATTCTGTTAAAAATTTGGGGATGGGGGGAGAACCTCACTTACCAATCACCCAGAAATATATGGTCATATTTTAACTTCCCGTAATCTAAACAAAGGAGATTCTGAACTCTACAGAAGTTCAGAATGTATGTGTGTGTCAGTACTAGGGATCAAATCCAGGGTCTCAACGCATGCTAGCAAAGTAAGTTCAACTACAGATGTCATATTATCTCTGGATAGAAACTATCAAAAAATAAGTGGATAGGGCTGGGGTTGTAGCTCAGCGGTAGAGCGCTCGCCTAGCACCGGCAGGACCCAGGTTCCATCCTCAGCACCACATAAAAATAAAGGCATTGTGTTGTGTCCACCTGCACATTAAAAAAATAAATATTTTTTTTTAAAAAAGAAGTGGATAAAATAGAAGAACCAGGGAAAAACAACAGCCAAAAGAAAAAAGACAATGGATGTAAAATAGCATCAAAAGGAGTATGAAGAAAATTGTCAGCAACATTAAAGAATAAATACTATCCATGCTGTCTTGCTTTGTTTTACTACAAATTCTATAGAAAAATCACTTTATTTACATGCCATACTAATGGAGATGAAATCTAAAGACTTTATACAATTCTGCCCCTACCATCCATTACTAATCACATAAATGCCATGTTCATGTAATCATTACTAAGTAGGTGTAATATTTACTCCATGATCATGCTACTGTTATATTCCCAGACTGAGTATAAAGACAAGTTAATTCCTGCACACTGGGGTGGGATGGAGAACAATGTCATATTTATCAGACTCTAAATTCTTCTCTCAAAGAAGCAGCAACAATTTACTCTCAATGGAAAATGGATTTGCCATTATCTATCCAACAGGCTTCTGCCAATAGAATATCTGTGGTTTTACCAATATAAGTTCTCACCAAGAAAATTATTCCACAGAATTAAAACATATTTAGCAATGAAGTAATCTCTCTGGGGTTCACCCTGTCTTTTCATGTAAAGCAATCAGCCTTATAGGACAGTAAGGCTATCCATTAAAACCCCAGCTACCATTGCTGAATGGTGTTATTTTGAAGGATATGTGTTCCAAACCAGAAACAAACTTTATATATGGAACTGTCTCTCTAATAACTACAGAGTCCAGAATCAAAGGGTAGAAAAGAAAATGTGGTCCTTAGCTTTTCTTGCACAGTTTTAAATATTTCGCTTCTTGTTCCCATGATACTATATTCTATTGGGTTTCAACTTGTGAAACACAGGGAAGAAAATGTTTCTTCCCTGGAAAGGCAAAGAATGAAAGCTGAAAATGCCAATCAGTTCTAACAAATTTTTCATGTACATGGGGGTACAGTCTGAAATGAGGGCCAGTACGTTAACCAGGATCATTTATTCTCAGGGTGATAGAACTACTATTAAAAATAGAAACAGAGGCTGGGGTTGTGGCTCAGTGGTAGCACACTTGCCTGGCACGTGTGAGGCATTGGGTTCGAATCTCGGCACCACAAACCAAGATCCATCAACAACTTTAAAATATTTTTTAAAAAAAGATGAAAAACAACAAGGAACAGAGGAAGGTAAATCTATACAAGCATCAATATGTAGTAAAATCAAGCAATTGAGAGGGAAAAAACAAATTATGCTTGTAATTCTTAATAAATAAGAACATATATCTCCAAAGAAGACCTGGCTGGGGTCTGTTGTTCCCACATATAGTCTCAGTTTCTGTGTATCTTTCACAGGTAAGATTTTATCAGGTCAAATTTAATTGTTTAAATATACACACCCAATCACAACAAAACTAACTATATTCCATCTTTAAACACACACATTAAGTTCAGGGTTATACATATGAAAACATACAAACAAGAATGAGCTTCTAAAATTGGTGCTTAAGAGGAAAAAATGTAGTCAAAAGATTAAAAAAAAAAAAGGGCAGGAATTGTAGCTCAGTGGTAGAATGCTTGCCTAGAATGCATGAGCACTGGGTTTGATCCTCAAGTAAAATAAAAACATTCTGTCCATCTATAACTACAAAAAAATTTTTTTAAAGATAAAAAATAATATTAGTTGCATATGTGTATGAAAACAGTGTCTTTAAGTACCAAAAATCACAATCACTATAGGAAGACTGCTGCACATAAGAACTAAGATTTAACGAACAGCAGTTGTGCCTTCCTCCTGTTCAACTAGGATCCCACGTTCACTGAGTCAAATATTGGATAGAGTTGCAAATGTTATGCATATTCTTCTACGTCACTCTTTGAAAAAAAATTAATAATAATTAAATAAATAAATAATGCTGCACGAAGTTGCAAAGACTTAAATTCAAAGACTACAGTGTACTTGATTGGCAATTTAGGACATCTTTTGCAAAGACACTCTTCATCATATACAATTTTAAAATTTACAAAGTGACTTGAAATCCCATGTTAAGACATGTTGTACAGTAGTCTCTATTCACTACTCTCACAGCATAGCAACAAAATGTTTAAGATGATTAAACTCTACAAAGGAAGATGTAAAAAGGAACATAAGATGGGTAGTACGTGACAGAATTCAGAAATACCAACTACTGAGCTGGGGTTGTGGCTCAGCAGTAGAGCATTTGCCTAGTACAAGTGAGGCCCTGGGTTCGATCCTCAGCACCAGTTTTAACTAAATCCCTTCTCAATTCTTCCTTTCTTCTTTTTAAATGATATCTCTGCTGGGCTGGTGCAAGGTGCTGGGTTCAATCCTCAGCAACACATAAAAATAAATAAAATAAAGGTACTGTGTCCAATTACAACTAAAATAATAAATAAATAAATAGGTAGATAGATGAATGAATGAATAATATAGCTGCTAACATAAAAATGCTTTCATTTTATTTTATATGTTATCATGAACCGGTGACACAATTTGCCACATGGAACAATGCTAAAATACAGGACCAGATAAAAAAGCTAAACCCAGATACAGCAAGCAATTTTTAAAACAGCCTACAATGCCACTCCTTGTTATGATAGCTTAGAGTAATCTGAAACTGCTACCACAATGGTGTATGGATGCTATTAGAACAGGCATTTTGGAGAAAATTAGCCTATACGCCTAACAGGCAAGAATATACTCCTTCCAAACAAAGCCATCAAAAACATTCTATAGGTATTTTGTTCTGACATGCTATAAGCCTAGCTACAAATAATTATACCACAGCTTGACATGTGGCACAAAGGCAACCAAATAGCCTGAACATAAGAAAAACCTAACAGTCTATTAAGGAGGGCTGGTATAAGAATTCTAATGTGGGGGCTGGGGATGTGGCTCAAGCGGTAGCGCGCTCGCCTGGCATGCGTGCGGCCCGGGTTCGATCCTCAGCACCACATACCAACAAAGATGTTGTGTCCGCCGAGAACTAACAAATAAATATTAAAAAAAAAAAAAAAAAAAAGAATTCTAATGTGTAGGGATACATACTCTTTATTAGAAAGTGACAAATAATACAAATATCTGTTCAAGAACTATATGAAGATATGGAGGAACCTGAAGTTCATTATACACCAAAGGACCCGTGCAATTTTCCATGAGACCCAAGAGGTGAATTTTCTGTGCTTCTTCACTTCCCAGTGTATTCTTCCAGTAAACTCCCAAATAATAAAAAGGTGCTATCTTCGTCCACAGTGACTACACATTTGTGAAAACACTTCAATCAATATACCTTGTGAAATCCAAACTAGATTTTTCTAAATTTCTTTTATTAATATTACTGTTTCTATGAGCCACTACTATCCTTCTGCTCTGGTATAATTATAAAAATATTTTAATTTTGAATTTTCAGTTATTACTGAGACTAAAATTCAAGTCTGAGGAAATATACTTACTATTGCTTTAACAAACAATTATGTAAATATTTTGACATGGAGTAGGATGTCAAAGGTCAAAAGAAGAGCCCTGATATTAATCAAAATTAGTCAAAATGTTTCATGTGATGTTTTGTCAGAATGCTTAAAAAACAGATCAGATTCTGGACTGGGAAAAATATTTACAGGTTTTTTAAAATATTAGATTCAAATGGAGAAGGCCAGTGAAGAAATATTATTAACTGACAATAAGGATGATTGAGAGATACACATATAGTCTTCAGAGTATAGCAAGCTCAACTTAGCCTAGATACAAAAACTTTCATTTTACCACTTGTAAAGACCCTAGATGCTCTACATATATATATTTTCTCAAGTCCTAGTAAGGACTTATTGCCATTTTACAAATGAGAATACCATCAGAAAGATTTGATGAAGTATCCAAAGGCACACAGTAGAAATATAAGAGCTGATATCTGGACCCAGATCACAATGACTCAAAAGTGATAACTTTTTCCACCATACCAACCACACTAATTACTCTGGACCTAGGCTCATTATTTCAAGTTTTAAAAATGAAATATGATTTTTGGAATATATACATATATTTATTAAAGAGAGAAAGTTAAAAAATGAACATGATTTTTGTCTCTAATATTGATAACATTGGGCAAATAAGATAGTATAAAAGTGACAACAGCTGGCCATCAAATTTCACTCAATTGTGAAAAAATCTATTACTAATTAATTACCTTGGCCAGTTTCTCTGGGATAAGTTCTTCTTTTGGCCCTCCAATTTCCTCATCATCATCATCCTTCTTCTTTTTCTGATTTCTCTGCTGCTTTTCTTTTTCTGCATTTTTTTTCTCCTCTTCTATCTGGGCTTTTTTTTGAGCTCTTCTTTGTTTGTTACGTAGCTTCTTTAGCTCTTTATCAGACATGTTCGCTATAGGCAGTAAGTGTTAATGAAATTAAAAGCATGTTTTAATCAGACTAATAATTATCAACCTATACTTTTTACTATTCCCAAACTCCTATAAAAGAATGCAACACAGTATGCATGTAAATATGCCTACATACACCTAGCCTTTTTATGGTTCCACGTAATATAGCAAAAACAGGTAACCTCTTCAGAATTTTTTTTTAATTACATAGGTTATACATATAAACATGCAACAAGGTAAAGCACACCAGTTCCTCCAGCAATAATAAACTATTTGCAATTCTTGAACGTAAAAGAGTTGTTGCAGCTATCTCTATGGCTTTATTATATTGTACTCTGCTATATTATACTCTGCTTTGTATTATACTTCATATATTCTGCTCATTATAATATCTTATACATTGTCTCTTTATAGATGTGGGCTCCTTGGGGACGAGATGCCACTTTACTCATACTCTATATATTCTCAAGGCCTAACAGCAAGTTGAACATATAGAAAACACTCAAAAGATTTGTTAAGACAGAATAAATGAATAACTTTATGATAACATAAATTTTTACACTGAAAATTCATAATATCTCTACAGGTACAAAGTTCAGAATCTCTCAAAGGAATAATAAAACATGGACAAATATAATAAAGTGAAAAATATATACTGTTTAGATTTCATGCAACAAATGTGAAAACTACATGCTCAGTGTTTATTTGGTTAACACTTGTTAATACTGAAAAATTTCATTCCAAAAGATACTACACTGTGATTTCAAAATATGCCTACAAAATTCTTCCCTTCAAAATGCAGAGACTATGGGACTGGGGTTGTGGCTCACTGGTAGAGCACTTGCCTTGCATGGGTGAGGCACTGGGTTCAATTCTCAGCACGACATATAAATAAATAAAATAAAGGTACATTAACAACTAATAAATTCTTTTTTTAAAATGTAGAGCCTATTTCCTTCCCCTTACTTGGACACAGGTTTTACAATAATGATTCACTTATAAGAAGAATGCACTAGAAATGAAGGTATGTAATAACCTAAGATTTGGTGTAAAAAAAAAAAAAGCATTGTAAATCTTCCTTGTTTGTTCATCACTCCAAGGAAGCCAGCTGCCATGTGGTAAGTAAGCCCAATCTACCTTATAGAAAGACACAGTGGCCAAGAACTGAAGACTACAAGAGTAAGCTAGGCTGAGAGCAGGTCTTCCAACCCAACTCAATCCTTAAATGCTCTGGCTAACATCTTGACTTCAACCTCCTTAATATTAGACCCCGATTCTTCAGAGCCATATGGCTAATGTGACTTCTGAATTCCTGGCCCACTGAAACTGTCAGATGATAATCATGCCATATAAAATTTTTGACTAATGTATTTTGCAGCATTAGATAACCAAAGAGGATGCTGGTATACAGAAGTGGAATAGTGCTATAACAAACACCTAAAATGTGATAACTTTGGAACCAGGGAAAAGTGGACTTAAATGAACTTCAATGAAAGTTTGAAGAGTTTTAGCCTATTAATAGAAGTCAGCTTTGAGAGGACTGCAGATAAAGATTTAAAGTGGCAAAAAGTTTAGCAAATGTTGTAAAATAAACTGATGATATAGCTAAGGTGATTTTCAGGCAAAGTGTTAAATTGTGGCACCTGATTACAGTTCTGCTTAGAATAAAATGCAAGATAAGAAAGCAACTAATGGAAGAATCAGGGATTTGACAGTTTTGAAAACTTTCATAAAAATCTCTTCAGAAATGGCTACTGAGCAAAGATCAAATCCAAGTCATTGTCAGGAAAACACATGCCAAGAGAGAAAGTCAAAGTGTTGGCTATAAAATCTTTTAAGACCCAGAACTCAGAAAGTGGGTGCCTTAGAATAATAGTCAACCTGAAGAAAGTTCTCCAAAAAGTTTTTTAAGGCATGAGAAGACTCACAGGGACCTCTCAATCAAAGCAAGCTTGTAAGGAACTTGAAGATGGCAAGGTATATATGGATTCCAATAAAATTCACAAAAAGAGCTTTGATGGTCTTAAGAAAATTCCATAGATGGAAGCATACGAAAATTTGGTTGAAAAAATAAAGAGTACAAAGTCACACTGGCCTTTAAAAACTCAAAATTATAAGGGCAGAAGCAAATGAAAAAAATATTCAGTTGCAAACAAATGTCACCTTTCAAACAAAAGCAAGGATGACTAAGAAGGTGAAACCAAGAACCCAGAGAGCAAGAGTAATATCCAAGAGCCATAGAAAATCAGTCCTCTGTCTTTAGTCTAATCAAGAAACTATTGATCTGTGCCCTGCTGGACTTGAGAACTGACATGAAACAGTAAATTCTGTGGGCCTTTTAAGAATGTGCACCATGGGAGTCCTGTAACTGTCCCAACATTTTGTACCAGGTGTATAGCTGGTGATAACTGTCTCTTTAGTTCACAGAATTACATGTCAAGAACAATATTTGAAAAGCTATAGTAGAAAAGCTACATCAGCAATCTTACCTGATTCCTATGATAACATTCTAGATTTTAAGCTAATGCTGCAATGGGATAACACTTCTAATGGCATTGGGAGGACTAACTATATTTTGCATATATATAACATGTTCCCAAATTCTTTAACAAGCACAGGTTATACTTGGTGACTCCCTGTATAGGGTATAAAGGAAGTAACAAGACAAAAACAGAATGTTTTAAAGGTACTGTGGCTTCATGCTCTTCATTCTCTTGTGATGCTACCACCTCTTGAGGAACTCTAGAAACCGATGGAGAGACTACAAGACTAAAGAATGCCAACAACCCTGGGAGTGAGCTACCTAGGAAATGTACTTTTCTTTCAGTCCTAGTCAAGTCTTCATGAGACTGGGGCGCAGCCCAACTTTTAGCTATAACTTCATAAGAGACCCTAAGCTAGAACCATTTAGATGCTTCTGAATTCCTGACCCACAGAAACAATTAAGATGCTAGATTTGGGAAATAAATTTATTACCCAGCAATAAATAATATGCAACCACCAATAATAATTACATACCTATTGCTCTTTTTTCCTGGTTAAAAAAAAAAAAAAACATCCCTTAATAGTAAAAAAGGAATATTTCAAACAAGCTGCAAAAAATTACTTTCTGGAAACACAAGATTATGACCATATAAGAGCTATCTTTTCAATGATGTATAGAATAACTACACCAAGGGCAGTGGTGCATGCCTATAATCCCAGTAGCTTGGAAGGCTGAGGCAGGAGTATCTCAAGTTCAAAGGCAGTCTCAGCAACCTAGGTCCTAAGCAACTCAGTGAGACCTTGTCTCAAAATAATAATTTTTTTATTTTTTTAAAGGCTAGGGATTTGGTGGTTAGGTGTCCCTGGGGTTCAATACCAGGCCCCAAAAATTTAAAAACTAAAACCAAAAGTAACTGCTATACCACTTGGATCCTTGCTACATGCTACCATACATAATGTAATATTCTCATGGATTAGAGTGTAAAATGTTTCCGTAGGTTCTGCATCTGCACTGCATGCAGAATCACCCAACCTCAAAACAAAAAATATTTGGGGGAGAAATTCTGTTGGTATTAAACATGTTCATACATTTTTTCTCACCAGTATTCCCTAAACAATATAACCATTTATATAGCACTTACAACATAGTAGGTATTATAAGCAATCTGTAGATGTAGTGTATTGATAGATATGCATAGTAGGTTAACTGCAAATACTGTGCCATTTTATAAAATGGACTTGAGCATCTATTGATTTGGGTATCCAAAGAGGGTCCTGAAACAGTCCTCTGAGGGTACTGCATGAGAAAACAGAGGTTTCAGTTTTGAAAAATGACAACACAGAGCAATATAAAAGGCAGAGCAAAAATTTAAATCTACTGACTCTGAAGTTTTTTCTATTATGCTATACCAACGGTCAGCAAAGTATTTCCAGCTTTACAAGTCATAGGTGTTACTGTTTGCATCTGCAATAGCCCTGCAAAAGTCCGTGTTTTAGACGATGCAGCAAATTTCAGAGGTGTTAATGATGGGATCCTGAGGGATGTACCTCAGTAGATTAACTACTGAATGGGATCTATAATCAGGTGGGGTATGGCTGGAGAAAGTAGGTCACCAGGAGACATTAGGACTATATCTATCCCTGCCCTCTTCCTCTGTCTCCTACTCTTTCCCTTCTTTCTGGTTGCCATGAGCTGAGCAGCTTTCCTTTGCCACACTCATCTGCCATGACGTTCTGTCTCATGATGGCCCCAGAGCAACAGAGTTGGCCAACTATGGACTGAGACCTTTGAAACTGAACCAAAATAAACCTTTTCTTCTCTAAAATTTTTTTGAGGGTGGGGGTGGTAACCCGGGATTGAACTGAGGGGCATGCGATCTGAGCCACATCCCCAGCACTATTTTGTATTTTATTTAGAGACAAGGTCTCACCGAGTTGCTTAGCGCCTCACTTTTGCTGAGGCTGGCTTTGAACTTGAGATCCTCTTTCCTTAGTCTCCCAAGCTGCTGGGATTACAGGCATGCACCACCATGTCCAGCTAAAAAAAAACACCTTTTAATAATCAAAACAAGACTGCAACATGAATTTAAACTATTCTTTATTATCTAATTTATAAAAATTATTTTATTTATTTTTATATGCTGCTGAGGATCAAACCCAGGGCCTCACACATGCCAGGCAAGCGCTCTACCACTGAGCCACAACCCCAGCCCCTATTATCTGCTTTTTATCTGCAGTGGCAAATAATAAAGAATAATGGTCTCAGCAGGTTAATTATAAATTACTATTAAAAAGAGGAATTACACTAACAGCCAACCCTAATAGAGTCCCACACTAATTATGTAGTTAGAAATTTATAGTACTATAAAGTAATTAGCTGGGTAAAACAGATATTAAATGTGAAATTAAAACTTAAATGTTAAAGACTATTTATACTACTTATCCCTATTTATTTTGAAAGTATAAAAGTAAGCAGTATTTATCTTCTATTGCTTAGAGAAATTCACAAAATATCAATAGATATTTTCTAACCCTGTAAAACATATTCCCAGAAGATGTTCAATAAAAAGCTGAAAAAACTATATTACTCAAGACACAAATACACACACACACACACACACACACACCAGAGCAAATAATAATAAGTCTTTGAATGCTATACCTGTGTCAGCTTCATGCTCCTTATTTTCATCTGTAAGGGGGTTGTCATGAAGCTTCAAATAGATCTCTATAGCAATTCTTGCTGCCTTGAAGTAAAACGGATGCTGTCGAAGTACATCTTCTAGTTTTAATAAGTCCACATATGATCTAAGGGTAATCTTCCTCATACAGTATGTATGAAAGTCAAACTGGTCGTCAGTGATTTCTATAAAATGCTAACAAAATTATCTTTTTATTATTACACTGAAGTATTGCAATGTCTAAGAAAACTATAAAGTCAAAGCCTTAGAATTACTTGTTTCTTTGGAATGAAAACTTATACAAAAACTTATGTCAAAAATATACAAAAAATTACAACCATTCAATATAAATATTTTGCATAAATAAAATATTTTGCATATCAAATAAGCAAATATAGTTGGTCATCACCTAGCAAAGGACATGATATACAGCAAGCACTGATAATCGCTGAATAAAAGAAAAGCACAATGCTTTTATTTACCCCCCCACTCACACACACAATTTATTCCTGCCTTAATCAGATATAAGTAAAGTCATTCTGACAAACCAACCATAATTGATTAATATGTAAGATGGGGGCTGGGACTCTAGCTCAGTGGCAGAGTGCTTGCCTAGCATACATGAGGCACTGGGTTTGATCCTTAGCACCACATATAAATAAACAAATAAAATAATGGCATTCTATCCATCTACAACTACAAAAAAGAATTTTAAAAAGATGTAACTAAAATATATGAATATATATATATATAAAATGGTTCAGTACAGTAGACTCTCATTAGACAATTTAGAACAATCTGTAAAGGATTATTATATGTAGCATTTGGTAAAAATATTTTTTTCTGAGGGTATAAATCTGAACCCTATGTAGTTCAATGCTGGTATATAGGAGATAAATCAGTTAGCTAGTAAGCCAGACAATCAGCAACTTCCACCTTTCAACCAAGCAATGGGATCCTGTGCTTGACAATATTATAAATGTGAATTATATAAACTATTTTTATCTGTGAAAAACACACATAAAAACAAAAGCCTATTACTAGTGATAGAAATGAATCTAAAGTGAAGAAGACTAAGAAAACAAAGACTTTGTCAAAAAATAAAGAACTGCACATGCTACAGACGTATTGTAAAAGGGTTGTGAAGCTTGGATATTATCAAGAATATACTGCTGGCCAACACAAATCAACCCCACAAGAAAGAGGATTCTAGGATTAGTTAATGAGCTATTATGTACTACTGAAGCAGCAGCAGCAGCAATTCCATAGATTAAAAAAAAAAAAAAACAAAAACCTAAAAACAGTTAAGATACAATAATGTAAAAAAAATTTTTTTTTAAATATTTATTTTTTAGTTTTCGGAGGACACAACATCTCTGTTTATATGTGGTGCTGAGGATCGAACCCGGGCCGCACACATGCCAGGCGAGCGCGCAACCGCTTGAGCCACATCCCCAGCCCAATGTAAAATTTTTAAAAAGAGTTCTTACAAGAAAAATACCATACACAAGTTAGCTAAAAACAAAGCATATAATTCTTCTATTACAAAAACTGAAAACAGTGATTCACCTATTATGAATTATAAATAGAAGAGGAAAAAAACTAGATTTCCACAAAAAAACTGACAGAATGTCTGACAGAATAAAAAGATAAATAAGGTACTTACTCTCTCAATTTCATGACATTTCTTAAGTGCTTCACCAAATTTATTCATTGCTTTATATGCCTGGGCACATTCTGTCTGGAACCACATGCATTGCATTTCATTCAAATTCTCAACTGCTGATGTTCCTTCCTACATGAAAAATCACACATATCAAGACCATTTCTTACCAAATACACCATTCATCTCATAAAATAATCAACCGATATGAGTTCTCTCAAAACAATTTGCTGGATCTATACTCAAAAGTCTCAGGATAAAAAGGAATAGTTCATATGTGAAAGAAAATGAAATTACTTTTTAATCACTAAAAATAATAGATTTTTCAAATGATTAAATAAAAGGTTTGTCAATTGTGCAGCAGAGATTAGCATAAGAAAAAGAACACCAGTACACAGCAAATATTCAATAGATACTAATTCTCTTAACCCCTAAAAATTTCCTCTAGATATAAACTAATATAAACCAGAATTTAAAAATCCATCATACAACTATGTAAAAAGAAAATGTTTTATACTGACAGTTTTAAATGTCTTCAATATAATAATCTAATTAAAATCTGGACTATTTTGCTGATGAAAATATTAAAAACAAAATTTATAAAGGAGACAGTATGAATATAAACTGGCTCAAGTCCTCTTTATTCATAAATAAGAACATAAGTTGTACAAACCCTTGTAAACTTTGAGCACATTTCTTCAGCCTCTTTAATCAGATTGGCTTTTAGCATATACTTTGCACACTTGGAGTTGATGAATCTATCTGCTGTGTCCAAGGCCTGAGCTTCATCCATCCACCTTGCAGCTTCTTTAATATTTCCAGCATGCTTACAAGGTACAAAAGCAAAATAAACCAATAAGTACACTCATTTTACTGTGCAGGTAATTTGTTACCTGTTGATAAGTAATAAAAATAAACAAATGAAGGGGAAAAAAAGATATTCTCACGGCTCAAAAGATGCTATTCAATATACAAGCATGTTTTCCTCCATAATCTAAGTTCCGTTATCTTTCTGTCCATCTAAAATGCATGCTCTCTGACAGAGAGTCTGGTTTTAACTATTTTATTTACTGTAAGCCTCATTATATATATATAGAGAGAGAGCAGATCCTAGCACATAGCAATACTCAAAAATAGCTGTCAAAATCTAAGAATAAATATTAATAATTAAGTCTTTAAGCCGGGCTGGGGATGTGGCTCAAGCGGTAGCGCGCTCGCCTGGCATGCGTGCGACCCGGGTTCAATCCTCAGCACCACATACCAACAAAGATGTCATGTCCGCCAAGAACTAGAAAATAAATATTAAAAAAAAAAATTCTCTCTCTCTCTCTCTCTCTCCTCCCTCACTCTCTCTTTAAAAAAAAAAAAAAAAAGTCTTTAAGCCAAATAAAGATGTATATATACCAACTTAAAAGTCCCAAGAAGGAAATTAATAGCCAATTTCCACAACAAAGAAACCACAGATAAACATTATTGTTTAGAACATTAATGGACATTCTCCCAATGATCCTCATTCTAGTCCACCCAGCTAGTCCATTTGGCAAAGCCATAAAACCTGATGAACAAAACCTGGGCTTTAAAAGGGTTAGAAATACCATGTAATGGCAGAGTGCTTGCCTAGAGTGTGTAAGACCCTGTATTTGATCTCTAAAACTGCCTACCCCCACCCAAAATAGCAATTTACAATTAATTACTTAATTTCCTGCTAAATAAACTATTAGTTTATAACCAATCTCAAAAACTTTGATTTATGAAATTGTATTTGCAACAGAAAGAAGAACCAACTTTAAGGTGCTAATCTTAAAAGACTGAAAATTCATAAGCAGAGCCCAGGAGGCAAATCAGAAAAGATAATATGTAGAATTCATAATTAAATCTTCACTGTTTTACTTCATTTACACATACCGAGGTGACCATACTTAACAGTTACTATAATCACATACTTTATTAGCAAATAAAATTACCCTTGGATTACATATACTTTTATTCCCCCAAACCAAGAGAATAAACCAGATATGTGTGAATGAGAAATATATATACACACACATATATAGTACATACCTATAAAATACATATGAATGGCCTTATGTATGTATATGTATATAGACATAGATGAAGGATCAAAAAAGCATGGCCACATTATAAACATAATCAGACTAAGAAATAGACTTCTTATTCCATGTTTTGTATGATGTCATTTTTCTTACATTTAGAATCTATAAAATACAGAAAAAATTATGACTAATATCATTACCTTAAAGGAAAAAGGAAAGATTTTTACCTTATAGATTTTAGCTTTCACAAGAAAAAGTTCTATCAATGTAGGTGTACTTTCAATAGCAGTATTTATGTATTCCAGAGCAATAGATGGCTGACCAATTTTGTCATAATGTTGTGCCAAGTAGTACTGGACCCAAAGTAATGTAGTTGGTGGTTCCTCCTTTCCATCATCTTTAAAAAGTGAGGAATAGGGGAAGAGAATTCAAATGATTAGGTATTACACATGTTAAGAGTGCCCCCCTCAAAATGGTCCCTATATTCATAAGGAAAGAAGTTTGAAAGTAGTTTGTGTACAAAACTACATCATGGTATATAAAATCTTTGGAAGGGATCATGTTTTCTCTTCTACATCCTCGCAATATTTTAGCACAAAGCTTTGCATTTAAGAACTTTTCATAACAAATAAGGCTAATAAGTAAGACTAATCATATAAACTAACTGCCTTAAAAAGAAAACAAAAAAGAGTGAAGGGAGACAAAATTGTACTAGAACTAGAGAACGCAATGATCAGGGTGCTTTTTTAAGGGGGGAGGGGCGGAATCAAAAGAAATTCCCCAGTAATATGAGGTTTAAAAAAACAAAAAAGACTACTTCAGTTTCTATCTAATGCATTTAACTGTATGTATGTTTGTGATGCAGTTATTTTGAATTTTGGTGGTATTCTTAGTAACCTAATATTATACTGAATATACAAAGATGAATTATTTAGTCTGAATAAAAACTATATCCAAAAATGAGATGACATGTTTAAAAAAACTTATATTTTACTTGATGATTTAATATACTCCCCCAAAAATGTGTGGGTTGTATATTTAAATTACACACTATAATTTTTTTTAAACTCAAATTTCTAAAACTTGGGAACTGTTATTTGCTTTCAAATAAAGCAATATACTGCTTATTTTCTTCCTACTAAAAGCAAGATGGCTCAGTGGACAAACAATAGGAGTGGAACTCACCAACTCCCGATCTGATAGATCTGCAACAAAAGTGCTGCATATTCTTGGGCATGTCATTGAACCTCTTCCACATTTGTAAAATATGTAGGAAATTGCTGATAATCAAAGGAACATCATGATGATTAACCAATGAAACCATGGTAACGCCTTTTAAAAAGTACTATTAAGATTAATCTGAGACTTAGAAACAATGACCAACTTATGCAATGCACACCCCAGGTTCCATTTTGGGCTTTCACAGTATAGAAACCAGAGGTCCTGGAAAGACAATGATTCCAGATCTTCAATGGCAGTGTACAAGATACAGTATCTTGTCACATCAAATAGCAAAAAAGCTACCAATTACTACCATGGCACAAGAAGGATAAAACCACTTGAGATTGGAAATATCAAGTGTGTTTAAATCACAAGTTCATAATTTTTAAATTTTTATTTGCCATCTCCAAAAGATGCTACTGAACCAATTCATTCTTTTCCAAATTGATACAGAAAAAAAAAAAAAAAGGTAGACGGTAGAGGAGAAAAAACGTTATTATCATGCTTTTCCTATACAATCTGAAATACTAGATAAGCAGAAAAGAAATGAAACTTCTCTTTTAATCACAAGATATGCCTACTGATGGAAGAATACGCCACCTATAAAATAATCTTGGCTTGCCCCTCTGATGTTTAAAAAAAAAATAAAGATAAAAGCAAAACAACCATAATAGAATTATCACATCTAATCAAACCTCAAGCCAGACCTATGTATTAGAAGGTTCTGCAATAACAGAAATGTTCTATATCTGCCCTGTCCAATTTGGTAGGCAGTATCCATTGTACAGCATTGAAATGTACTGTTAACTGAGGAACTGAATTTTGTTTAATTTTTAAAAAGTGCAAGTAGTCACTGTGGCTAATGGCTACCATATTAGACAACTCTATATCCAACCACCAACTTACAGAAAATTCAGAGGACAAAAGAACAATGTGCTAAAATGTAGGGGTACATTCAAAATCTAGACTAAGAAAACACAAAAAAAATTTTCTTCAACAAAAAATTTATAGTAAATTATAAACCTTATCTGGATCTACATTCAGACAAACTTTTAAAAGTATGGAAAAAAGACAAATATAATGGGAAATGTGAATATAGAATGGATAGTTTATGTAAATAAAGCATTAATTTCTTTTTTTTTTTTTTCATAGTACTGGGGATTTACCCAGGGGTGCTCTGACACTAGCCCCATTTTACTTTTTTTCTTTTGAGATAATTTGTCAAGGTTGGCCTTGAACTTGCAGTCCACCTGCCTCAGTCTCCAGAGCTGCTGGGATTATAAGCATGTGCCATAGCACCTGGGTGAAAGTATTAATTTTTCAATCATGATAATAGTAATTACAAGATATTTTAAGTTCTTTACCTTTAAAGAGACTGAAATATTCACAAATGAAATGTGAGTTTCAGATTTATTTCAGAATATAAGAACAGAGGGAAGTAGGTAAGACTATAAATGAATAAGATGAATACATTTGGACATGAATTTAAAATTACTGAAGTTGAGTGATGTATAGGAAGGACATTTACATTATTACCTCTAGTTTTATTGAGGTTTTAAATTTTACATAAACTTTTCCCAATAAACTAATATGAATCTCTTCTAACAAAATATCGTTACACAATGTACAAATTAATGGTTCTTCATTACAATAGGAAAAAAATTGTAATGTACCATGTTTGTAACAAATAATTAATACTGACCTTCTGATTAAGAAGTTCATAATGTATTAAGAATTTCAAGGTGTTTTCAAAAGGCAAAGCTTAGGCACTTACCATTGGGGTTAAATAAACGGCAGCTTTTTAGAGAGGTTTCATAACCTACTACTAATTCTTCTATGATTGCCACCTAAAGTATAAACACATAAGCACACTTTAATAGAAAAAATACGTGGTTACCACTCATGAAAAATTTGCTATTTACTAATGAAGACTAAATAAATACACTCATCTTTATAAATATCTTACCCTCAGAGTAAAAATTTGAAAATAAGTAATATATTTGTGAGCTACACATTAAGCTCTAACTTTTTTTTAAAAAGTTATTGGTAAACTCCTTTTCCCTGGTAGAAAATAAAGCATCAGCTGAACTAGAAATCAGGAAAGGCAACACTGTATATGATTTATATCTTGAATAATTTTTTTATCTCAAATCACATAAATAACACCCACGAGTAACATTTGTTCTTTAAGAATCAAGAATTAAACAGTATGTGAAAAGAGAAGTTTCCAAAAGTAGATGGTTGTGTTCAACTGTCACTTTCATAATCCAGGAGAGAACATTAGTTGAAAGTGAAACAGAACACTGGGGCATCTGAGGCCCAGGAGAACAAGTGGCTATCCAAGTGTGATTTCTCCAGAATCTGGACTGTTCTACCTTTTCCTGGCTTCCTGAGAGATCTTGAATATTCTTATTTCATTCATTCTCTTCTTTAAGCTGAACAAGGTTACATTTTTATGGACTTGATTTGTGCAAGGAAAAGAGAAATATTAATAAAGCCCATAACTTCAATCTTTCAATAAAGACTGGCAATGCAAGCTACAGTAGGTTATTCATATTTAATTTGTTTCATTTCTCTGATTCTTTTCAATATATTTTGTTTTTAATCCAACTAACATGTTTTGCTTGCGCTTGCAAGCAAATTAATGTAAATTAAGATTAAAACACCCTCTAAAATTTTGAATCTTACAATACAGTGCTGAAAGAGTAAGTTAACTCACTGGGGACAGTAAATAACTCTTGACAATTTTTTTTTCCTCTACCAAATATAAATCAGAAAATTACTAAGCTAAAATAGGTTTTAAAAAAAATCACTTCTGACTTCTGAAATAAGGATTAGAGAAAATGTTGGAGAAATCACTATTTTATCAACTCTTTATAACCCACACTGACTCATTAACTTATTAGCAAAAACAAAGGAAAGAAAACAAGCACTGAGTTACCAAAGAGAAAAAGGAATTAAAAGGCACAGAGGCATTCAAACTGCAAACTAAGAAGACTGATAGCAGATTCACAACACGGATAATCAAGACTCAATCATTGTAAATACTGAATATAAAGACATGACACTAAAAGAAAACATTGTATTTTATTTTACCTTTTCTTTATCTTTATATAAGGACCTCAAAGTATTGAAGACTGGTGGACAACCTTTGCTGAAATTCATCCTTAGGAATTTATCCAAACATTCTTTAAACTTTTCACCTTGGAAGAGAAAAATCCTGTTGGCTTACATTTGCCCAGAGAGACAACTCTAACAAAGCATACCTTAATCTTCATTTACATACTCATGCTTAAAACTAACAGCATTTTCATGCCTTTGCCATTATTCTCAACTTACCAGATAAAAAGTTTAATGGCAGCCTTCTTGGCACCAGTCCCCTGGGATATTTAGTCCAGGCTTCCTCATATATTTTCAGCCGTTCTAACATATTAGCTGTGAAAAAAGAAAACTTGATTTTGTATGTAATTATAAATTACACATTTTAATGGCAAATTTTAAGTTTCTCACAGTAATTAAAATATGTAACAAGACAATTTGAAGATGAGAAGAAAATTTATTTGTAATCTTGCCACCTAAATATATTATCATTTAAAAATATTTATACCCAGTAATTTATTTCATATCTTAAATACCTAGAACTATACAGTATAATTTTCTTTATCCCATTCTCACTTCGGTAAGCTTTCAAAATCTGAGAGCTTTACTTAGTACTGAAAAGGTTTCACTACTGTGTCCCCTAATGTTGCTTCTCCACTATTTATCTTCAACCCTTTAACTGCTCTCCTTTGATCTCTCCAGAGCTTTTGGACCAATCCCCTCTCTTACATTTCTCCCTATTTATTTTATGTTTTTTCTTCTACTCTCAGTGCAAACATAAATAGGCTTTCCTCAGTTTAATCTTTCATTTCACTACTTTTTCTCAGCTGTGACCTCTCTTATATTCAGCCTATTAAGATTTTTATTTCAATTAATAGGCTTTTCATTTCCTAGATTCCTAATGAGTACTTTCACATGACTATTCATGTTTCACTGCTGCAATGCCCTCTATTCATCTTAAATTCCTCCACCATCTCTACTCTCCCTTTTGTAGTCACTGTTAGTTACTATCCAGTGCTGGTGTTCCCATGATAGTCTGAGAATCTTTGTTACAAAGTATCTATAGTCAGGTTTCTCTTCTATACATCAATGGTAACAGAATGGCTCACTTGAGGGAAATAGCTTCCTATTATATCCATTTTGCTAAGAATCCTGCCTATTTGTTTCTGGGCCTGTCTCCACAAGTGGACACCATTTTGGGAAAGAGGAAGCTGGGGGAGAGGCCACAAACAGGGTTTCTGGAACCAAGTTTATCTGAGTGATGGAAATTTTATCTGTCTTTCTACAAAGGAACAATACTGCTCATTCAGCATGGCTATATGCATATGACACTGGGACGCTCTTCTGTTGTAGCCACAGTTTACCACAGAGATTATGCTCTGCATCTTTCCTTAAGGAAAACATCTCCATTTCTGTCAATTGAAATTTCCATTTCAGGGCTGAGTTTGTAGTTCAGTGGTGGAGCACTTGCCTAGCATGCAAGAGGCACTAGGTTCAATCCTCAGTACCTCATAAAAACAAATAAATAAAAGTAAAGGCATTGTGTCCATCTACAACTAAAAATATATATTTTTTTTTTAAAAAGAAATTTCCCTTTCATGATTTTGAGGCTACTGTGCATTTGTGAATTTTCTTTAAAATTGAGATGTTTTCAATCAATTTGTAGCAGAAACAAGATTTTAGGACATGCTCAATTTGTCATATGAAATGGAAGTATGCAATGTATTTTTGTATTCAGATTTTGAACCAACTCTTAACAGTTATTTTTCTAGTACGTTAACAAAAGAAGCAATTAAAACTTAGCATTAACAACTCTACCTGGCTTCAGTGCTTTTTCTAAGCCTTTGTAATAGGCCCAGTTCTCAGGATTTCGCTCTTGTAATCCTCTATAAACATCAGCAGCATCTTCCAAGCGACACAATTGCAACAGAAGTTCCCCTGATTATTTAAGAAAAAAAAGCTAAGAATAATCTTCAGGTTTTTTTAAAAACTTTTCCTCAAAATTTCTCTTAAAACCTTATTATAAATCAATGTTGAGAAGTAGATAGATTTGGTATCCCTCTGGAAGTCCCATCTCCCTCCAAGAAGACTATTTATCATGTAATTTTATTATCTCCTTCTTAGAAGTCTACATTATTTAAAAATGCCATTTTTAAAAATAACGTTATTATATATATATTTTTTACAACTTTATTTATGTTTATATGGTGCTGAGGATCAAACCCAGTGCCTCACACATGCTAGGCTAGCACTCTGAGTTACAACTCTAGCCCTAGAAATGCCATTTTCTTCAGATCCTCTATTTATTCAGGGAATAAATTCAGGACTGTCCAACCTCAGGCCGCATTCCCATGTTAACTGAACACCTATCACCAAACCACCAAGTATTCTTAATATCTTAAGAAAAACTTAGAGGCTGTGGCTCAGGGGCACAGCACATGCCTAGCATGTGTGAGGCACTGGGTTTGATGCTTGCACCATGTATAAGTAAATAAAATAAAGGTCCATCTACAACTTAAAAAGAATTAAAAATAAAAAAGAACTTTGACATCTAAATCAATAACCCAATTTAATACCCTGTCCTCATGATCCCTTAATCAACTACAAAACAATTCTATGGTAGCAATCCATAACAACCTGACCACATTCAAAATCACCTGGCCTACTGGAAGCAGTGGTACACACTTATACTCCCAGTGGACCAGGAGGCTGAGGCAAGAGGATTGCATGCTCAAGGCAAGCCTCATCAACTTAATGATGCCCTAAGCAACTTAGTGAGACCCTATCTCAAAATTTAAAAAATAAATAAATAAGTTAAAAGAAGGGAATGTGGTTCAGTGTGGTTATGCATCTCTGGGTTCAATCCCAGGTACCAAAAAAGCCCCATTAGTCTTTTATCTTTTTATCTCTTCCAACAACCAAATAAGCATCCTGCTTTAAGCTTAACTGTCTCTCTCTTATCTAATTTTACTCCAATCCCAAACCATTCCCTTTTCTTTAAGCCTATTAGCAAATATAGATTCAATGCTTGCCTTCCCCCAGCTATAATAAATCATTCCCTGAATAACATTAGCAGTAACAAGCATCAAAACTATCTCAAAGCTAGGCTTCCATTATTTACTTCACACCACACTAAAGACTGGATAATTCCAAATGTTTGTTGAACAATTTCTCATGGAAGGAAGCAAGTTAGATGAATAAAGAGACAATAGTTGCAATGGAAATACATGAGCTCCAAAGTCACATGAACACCTGACACTACTCAGGATTGCTTTCCCATACTATTATTCAGCTTCCATTCACCAAAGGTATTATTTTCAAACTATTATTTCACCCTTCCATTCTTCACTTCCATCAGGTAATTAAAAACAAACAGAATATTCACTTTGCATTTTAAATGTTGTGTATTAACCTATTAAATTCTCAGAACTTTATGAAATAAGTTACTATTATTTTCATCATTTGTAAAGCAGAGAACTTAAGTAAACCTGTGAAGGATGTTTCAAAGAGTATTGGTAACCAGAATTTGAACCCAAGCAATTTAGCTAAAATAATTCATATCCCTAACATCCATACCAGTAGTTTTCAACCAGGGTACCTTTTGGCACTATTTAAAGAAATTTTGGTTGTCATACTGGGGTGATGGGAGCTATTGATATTTAAAGGGAAGAAGCTAGGGATGCTTCTAAATATCCATAATGCACACAAGCAATCTCCACCCCCAATAACTCAAGCGCATAATATCAACAATACAAGCTGGCAAAGTCTACTCTATATTAATCAAATATCAACTTCATTGAAAACATAAAAAATAACCTGCAATTTTACTACTCTACATTGCATCCACCCTCATTTCCTTCCCATAAACTCATCCCACCTTTTTTAGTATGGAGGGAACTCATGAATTAATGAAATAAGGAGTGGGGATATAGCTCAGCAGTAGAGTACTTGCCTAGTGTATTCAAGGCTCTGGGTTGAATCCTAAGTTCCACACACGTGTGCATACGGCACACATACACACACAAAGGAATTAACTATAAAACATTTTACCTATCTTTGCCCACTCATCAACTTCAGGAAGTTCCAAGTGATCTTTATCATCTCATTCTCTCCCCTCAACCACCACCACTAGCAATAATGCCTTTACAGCTAGAATAAGTCCACTTTCAGCTTCCTTCTCTTTGTATACCTGTCCAAAAACCTAACAACATATATTTTGTGGAAAAGCTGAGTGCCTTGTTTCTCTTTCATGTAGAAAATGGAAGCAATGATAAGAAAACTCCCAAATACCTCTACTTCTACACGTGCTTGTCCATGTACAACCATCTTTGTTACTAGGGATGAACTATTCATACATACTTTTATCTAAAGTTCATCTTTCAGATTATCTACAAGATCACATCCCCTCTACGTTATCAAGTATTTTTTTTTGTTTCATTCCCCAATCAGCACAAAACATGCTGCAAAAAAGAAACCTTTAGATCCTTACAATATTTCATCTACACCACCCCACTGTTTCCTATACAACAAATCCTTCTGAGTCACTTGTGCTTAACAACTTCGATTCCTCTACTCTCACTTTCATTTGAAAAGATCTGATATTTGGGCTTTTACTACCTTCCTCCCAAATGTTCAGATTATGTGTTTGTTAAGATCACTAACAAATTCCAAACTGCTAAAATCCATGGGTCAACTCTGAGTCAGAATCTAATTTGACCTATCTACTATTCTTCCTCAATAATAAAATTATTAACAGGAATGAAGAAAATATTATGCTTCAAATTACCTTGAAAACTATGAAGTATTTCTACTAAGAAACTGAGGTCCAAGCCTTGTTCCTGGTAACCAACAAAAAGAACTTGTGATCTATTTTTTCCAGACTTCTGATCTTTCCATCATGTCAGATTTCCTTCCTTTATTTTTATTTATTTATTTATTTTTATATATGACAGCGGAATGCATTGCAATTCTTATTACACATATCGAGCACAATTTTTCATATCTCTGGTTATATACAATTCATGTCTTCATACCTGCACTTTGCATAATAATGATCATCATTAATAACCCTATGCCCCTCCCTTCTCCTCCAACCCCTCTGCCCCATCTAGAATTCGTCTATTCCTCCCATGCTCTCTCTCCTTATCCCATTATGAATCAGCCACTTTATATCAAAGAAAATATTTGGCATTTGGTTTTTTGGAATTGGCTAACTTTACTTAGCATTATCTTCTCTAACTTCATCCATTTACCTGCAAATACCATGATTTTATTCTTTTATTGCTGAGTAATGTTCCATTGTATATATACATGCTGAGTGATGTTCATTGTGTGTGTATATATACACACACACACACATACACACACACACAATGTTCCATCGTGTATATATATATGTATATATATCCTTTCATCTACTGAAGGGCATCTAGGTTGGTTCCACAGTTTAGCTATTGTGAACTGTGCTGCTATAAACATTGATGTGGCTGTGTCCCTGTAGTATTCTGTTTTTAAGTCCTTTGGGTATACTAATCTCCAGGGTATATAAAGAACTCAAAAAGCTAAACATCAAAAAAAACCAAATAACCCAATTAATAAATGGGCCAAGGACCTGAACAGACACTTCTCAAAAGATGACATATAATCAATCAACAAATATATGAAAAAATGTTCATTATCACTAGCAATTAGAGAAATGCAATCAAAACACTCTAAGATTTCATCTCACTCCAGTCAGAATGGCAGCTATTATGAAGACAAACAACAATGATTGTTGGCGAGGATGTGGGGGGAAAAGGTACAGTCATACACTGCTGGTGGAGTCCCACCAGCAAACTGGTGCAGCCAATATGGAAAGCAGTATGGAGATTTCTTGGAAAATTGGGAATGGAACCACCATTTGATCCAGCTATCCCTCTCCTCGGTCTATACCCAAAAGACCTCCTCCCTTTATAACCCATAGAAAACTAAGGGATGATCAATTCAAATTAAAGTGGGCTATCCTGGACCTACAGTTTACTCAGGAGTTTTTCTTGCCAGGAGCATTACCCTCTGACAAAAGTTTACATGTGAGCAAATAATGACTATACTTACTACACACATAGATTCTATAGTTTTATAGTGTCTAACTTCAAAGTGAATCAAGAAATTTGAAACCAGCAAGCCTAAGTTCCCCAAACAGCCAGGGCAAAGCAACATTTTAGATGATATTCTTAAAAAATTATTTGTCTTTTCAATTACTTATTCTTCTATCATATTTTTCAATCATGTCTTCAACTTCTAAAAACGTGGGCCTCCTTTTTTTCCTTGACCCTCTAATAAATAGCAGCATAGGAACCATTTATTCAGGGATTGACCCACCTCCATCACAAACTACACATATAAACCCAAACCTTGTTTCCTTTCCTTCCAGAATTAATGTTCTTTCTACTGCCTCAAAGACATTCATATTAACCATAAAGACAGCCAGGAATGTCCTATATGCATTTCAGTGAATACCAATTTTTCAATATGTGTTACTGGCAATTAAGAAATCTGGCACACACCTCCTCCACTGTAGTTTTGCTAATAAGCTGTTTCTAAGGTAGTTAATCCTGTATCTCATAATTGCTTCCTATGTTCTGTGTTTAAACCCTGTAATAACTTTGAATCTCTGTATTTATGAAAAGATACTTTAAGAGAGTGGAGCATGCCTGTGATACCAGCTATACCCCAATGAGGATGGAAGATCAGTTAAGCTCAGGAGTTTGAAACTAGGTTGGCCACCCAGGGAGACCCTGTCTCAAAAACATCAGTAAAACACAAAAATGGATGCTTTGTTGATTTATTTCATTCAACTAATTTTTATTTGCAATTTCCCCTATATTAACGATATCCATTAAGTATATATTTTACCACATACAAATTACTTAACATACACAATCATTAGATTTTACATCATCAAAAAGTTGAACTACACTCAGCTATCAGCTGATGACTATTCAGCCTTGCTCTTCAACATAATTAAATATTAAAATAAATGATGTTCTTTTAAAAATACCTTTGGTTTCTTCTACAGCAAGTTTATCACAAATCTGCTTTTCATAGGTACAAAGATGTTCCAAGGCTTCTCTATAGAGACCTGCTTCCCGAAGAACTTGATTTTGATATAAAAGGAGTTCGCTATATTCATAATCCACTTTATCAGGGGATGTCTGTACATGGACATAAGGAATACTAACAGTAAGAATTTTGTTTTCCTATTAGAAAATAATTTGCATACTCAAAAACATAAAAAGTCAAAGGATAATAGCTATTTGGTAAATCATATTTTTAAAAAATTACTCAAAATATCTGTCTATGGAGCAATTAAGTAAATAGAAACAATATTAGTTTATAATAAATTGAATAAAAAGAACAATCTATAAGTTCTTATGTACATTAAATAAATATGGAAGAGGAGAAAGATCTTAAGAAATGCCTAATAATAAATCTAGGTAAGAGTCAGAGCAATTGATTCAGGTAAGAATCATAACAAAGAATGATAAAATTAGTGATTAAAGTTTGATGAGAAAAAGCTATTCAGTTTCAAATTGTTTAATAAATTCAAACAAAGGATAAAACTCAACTTTATAGTTGCAGGTACCACCTTAACACAGAAATCAAATGGAAAAAAGAGCCGTCATGTGTCTCTCAATCTGATCAACTGAGAAGGATTCATCATTATGTCTAAAGTTTCCTACCAAAAATGCATAATTATATCTAATGAGAAAATATTTTTTAAAAACCCCAAAGTAAGAAACATTCTACAAAATGTAGAATCATTTGAAGAGTACTGCCTGTACTCTTCAAAAATATCAATGTCATGAAATACTAAGAATATTTTTAAAACTATTTCAGATTAAAGAGACTGAAGAAAAATGATAACTAGATGCCAGATATGATTCCAAAGTGGGAATGAGGAAAAAACTGGTAGAAAGGATACAAAAAGACAATCAGTAAATTTTCAATATGGGCTATAACTTAGATAATAACAATTAATGTCCAACCATCTCTGCATCAGTACCTACAGAACTGACAATTACAGAGTTATTCCTAGAAAGGCACACTGAAGCACTGAGGGATAAAGAGCATGACCTCTGTAATTACTCTCAAATGTTTAAGGAAGAAAATGCAAATACAGATGCAGGTCAGAGATTTAAAAGTAAATTCATCAAATATTAGCATTAGATAATGTGAATGAACTTCTCTATAAACTTCTTTGAATTATACCTGCAACTTTTCTCTAAGTATAAAACTATTTCAAAATAAAAACAATTCTTTCAGTTATATTTAGAATCAGACTAGTGACTGTTTTCTTGTTATTACCTGTTGTGTTTTCCTAAATTCTTCTAAAATCTTTGCTGCCATTTCATAATCTTCTAATAAATGGTAAGCAATAGCATAACCAATCCATGATGCTCTCTGTGCAGGTCGAAGCTGAAGTAACTGATACCGTGTTTCCTTCGAGGGGGGAAAAAGATTTTCTTAGGTTTACAGTTCAGATAGATGCACCTTTAGAAGACCACATGAATTTACCCCCCAACACTATGTATTTTGCTACAAAATGCTAGAAATGGTGATAGAAAATAGTTTGAAACATCCATATTGTATAGCTTTAGAGGCAAAGGAATATGTGTATTAAGCACTATGAAGCCTCCAGGCTATGACTTTTTTTAAAAAAAGAGCCACACACAGTGGCACACACTTATAATCTCAGCTATTTGGGAGACTGAGGCACAAGCATCACAAATTCAAAGCTAGCCTCAGCAATTTTTTAAAAAGGGTTAAGGATTTGGATCAATGATAAAGTGCCCTTGGGTTCAATCTCCAGTACCAGATTAAAAAAATAAAAATGAAGACCAGATATCCTTTTTTATTTCCAAATCTATCCACTTCAAGAACTAAGACAGGATAATAACAATAGTACAAAGGAAAAAATTATTCAAAAATTCTTCAGAGGGCTGGGGATGTGGCTCAAGCAGTAGCGCACTCGCCTGGCATGCGTGCAGCCTGGGTTCGATCCTCAGCACCACATACAAAGACGCTGTGTCCGCCGAAAACTAAATATTAAAAAATTCTCTCTCTCCCTCTCTTTAAAAAAGAAAAAAAAATTCTTCAGAAAATAAAGTTCCCAACTACTAAATGAAGATATATAGAGAGAAAGCTCAGCAGGTACTACAACAAAAAAAGAAAAGAAAAAAAATATGAAAGAGTTAGGAACAAACTAAATTCAAGACTAACTTAAGGGCTAAAACTGAAACTAAAGCATGACGTGGTGGTGTGTAACTCGGGAGGCTAAACCAAGAGGACTTCCCCACATACAACCCAAGAGAAGTAAATTCAAACTACAAAAACAGGTTATTCTCAAGGAACGTAAAAAGAGAAGGAAAAAAAAAGTTCGCTTTCCAGGAAATGTGGAAAGGCAGCCGAGGATGTTGCTTAGTTTAAGAGCACTTGCTTAGCATGCATGAGGCCCTGGATTCAATCCCCAGCACAACAGAAAGGAAAGGAGTGGGGTGGGAAATAGTAAGTATGAGTTAGAGTTACAACATGTTAGTACCAGTCAAAGGACTGGACTTATTTTTTTAATGAATTGATTAAATCAGCCTGACAAGAAAATAAAGTCAGATTTTAAGATGTACCTATTCTAAATTGGGGGGGGGGTCCATTTAAATTCTTTTCAAAAATGAAGTCCTTAAAGTTCTAAAGAACAGTATTTTCCTCTTAGAATAAAAAATTCTGTAGTTTACTTACCCTGTAACCCTCAAGATCTCGCATTTGAATCTGTAGTAAGGAAAGGTCCCTCAAGATTTGAAGATTGTCTTTATCCCATTTTAGTGCATTTCTGTAACACTTAATGGCTTCATCATACTTCTTGTCTGACCTCTGAAGAAGGCCATAAACATGCCAACCTAAAGAACTCAGTTAAGGATACAAACTACAATTCAAGAAACAGTGTTCCAAATGATCCTCGAAGAAACTTGGAAACCTACAACCACTGGTAAAAATTAACTTGAAAAAAGGTGCAGAGAAGAATACAAAGATAAAAGGGAGTTAATACAATGGAAAGAAGCACAGCATTTGGAACCAGAGGAAAGTAGGCCTACCCTGCCTTATTATCACTCACCTTGCACAAGTTAATTTCTATAAGTTTGCTTATTAAAAAATGTAAATGGATATAATCTAAGAGTGAAGCATAGTAGTGATGGCTAAATGGGATAACTATAAAGGTTCAGTATCTGGTAAAATTCAATGACTACATACAATAAATAAAGGAATTATCTTTATTATTAAAAGGAAAAAGAAGCCAGGCCTCCATGGTATATAATTATACAATATCACGTAGATTTTTCTTTGGCTAACAAATGATATACTTAGCACAGTAAAAAGTTCCTAAAAGTCAACCACATATAATATTAAATCATTCATTCATTTAATAATTATTAAGAAGTCTTAATAATTAGGGTGTAGGTGAACAAAACACTTGAAATTTTACTAAATATTTTAGCTATTAAAATTGTTAAGCTCACAAAATAGGCACAAAAATATTTGTCAGTTTATTTAAAATATAACAACACATAATTTTTCTCCATCTTCCCTCTTCCATTTCTTTTTATATATATATATATTTTTAGTTGTATGTGGACACAATATCTTTATTTATTTATTTTTATGTGGTGCTGAGGCAAGTGCTCTACCACTGAGCCACAACCCCAGCCGCCCTCATCCATTTCTATTTGATCCCCAAAAATCACATTTTCCTTAATGAAATAAAATTTGTTTTGCATTTCATCAATGTCTTTATAGCATCACAATGAGGTGGGTGAAATTATCCCCATTTTGCACATGAGGAAACTGAACCCTAATATCACACAGAAAGCAGAGTTGCATTTCAAATCTACATGAAGTATATTATATTCCAAGCCTGTATTCCAAAGCCTGGGCTTTGAACTATATGCTACTGTGTCTAATATTACTTATACACACACACTCTCTTATTTTTCTCTAAAATTATGATCATAATAAAGCTGCATGGTGCCTTAGTCCAGTCAAACTGCTATAATAAAATAGCTAGACACAGTAATCTATAAACAAAAAGACACTTATTGTTCATAGTTATGGAGGCCATGAAGTCCAAGATAAAGCAAATTCAGCATTTGGTGAGTCTTGTTCTCACTTCATAAACAGCTCCTTCTAGCTGTGTCATCACATGACCAAAGAGTTTCTGCTGACCTCTTTTATAAGGACACTAATCCCATATTTGAAGGCTCAACTCTCTTGACCTTTTCACCTTCCAAACCATTACACTGGTAGTTAGGTTTCAATTATGAATCTGGGAAGACACAAACATTCAACAATTTCTCCTCCCCCTTTTTTAAGAATGGGAAGAGCTTTCATAGACATTTTTAAATGCAAATCCCATTTATATGTGAGACAGATATACTATTAAAACATGGTAGGTACAGATGAACAAGTTGGTGCACTCTTGTAATCCAAGCAACTCAACAGGATGAGGCACGAGGATCTCAAATTCAAAACCAGCTTCAGCAACTTAGCAAGGCCCAATTTCAAAAACAAAAAATAAAACAAAACTCAAAAAAAGCCAGGCACAAAATGTTGCACACATATAATCCCAGCAGCTCAGGAGGATCACAAGTTCAAAGCCAGCCTTAGCTACTTAGCAAAGCTCCAACTAACTTAGTGAGACCCTGCTTCACAAATAAAAAAATAAATAAAAGGAGTTGGGGGTGGAGATGTGGCTCAGTGGTTAAGTGCACCAAATTCAATTCCTAGTACCAAAAGGGGGGGGGGGCAAAAAAAATCATGACAGGTCTGTTAAAATGTTCCCTGAATGAAGGCAGTTGCTATTAACTCAATTTCAGAGAGAAAAATCTCTTCTGGAATTGCACAGTAAGAAGAAACTAGACGTTCTGACTCTCAAACTGCTGCCTTAGCTCAAAACACCCCACTTAGTCCTGAAATATATTTCAAAAAGGATACATACATGACTCTTCAAGTCATTTCTCAGACCTCTACGAACCAATTCATAAGCTTCTTCCTTTTTTCCCAAGCAGTTCAACGTTAATCCTTTCATAGCCAGGGTTTCTATTTTTAATAACAAAAGGGAGGGGGAGTAAAAAAAGTGAAAGAAATTAAACATTAGAAATAAAAATAGTCAGCAATAAAACATAATCATACCCTCAAAAAAATGCTATGTTATGCTAACAATTAAAAAATTGAAGGAGATTACTGACATATTTCCAGAATTAAAATATTTTTTAAATCGACAAACCAAATAAGCAAAGACTTCTAAATTAATTCTTGGAGACTCCTATGCTTTTCTTTCTTTCTTCTTTTTTTAAGATTAAAAACATACATAATGCATGTACATCTGACCAGAAAGATGACCTAGTAATTTATATACTGACAACATGTAATCACTCTTACTACTATTTTGTTCTCAGGGGAATTCCATGGGATGACCTTTAAACTATGAAAAGCTATCTTAAAAACAGAATTTATTTCTATGAACCTAATTATGTAAAGGTTAAATTTACTCTTCTGATTAAAACATTTCTACATTTCTGATTTTCATAAATTTCTTTTAAAATGATTTTTTTAGGATTACTAAATATATGAGTAAAAGATGTCCAAAACCTGCCATTTGCAGTCAACAGATTCAAAGAGAGAACTGTGGCAAGTATTGCGTTTCCAGAAAAGATTTCTAATTTTATACTGTATATCCTATGAAGTGTAAAGGTATAAAAAAAAGTTAATTGTCGCATGCCTGTAATCCCAGAAGCTCAGGAAGCTGAGGCAGGAGGATCACAAGTTAAAGCCCGCCTCAGCAAAAAGTGAGGAGAGTTAAGCAAAAACAAAGCACTAAGCAAATCAGTGAGACCCTGTCTCTAAATAAAATATAAAATGGGGCTGGGGATGTGGCTCAGTGGCTGAGTGCCTCTGAGTCTAATCCCCAGTAATTCAACCCCCCCAAAAAAAGTTAATTGTCATTTATTTACCTAATTTTAAGACAAAATTTACAATTTATAGAGAATTTAGTGAGAAATAAAAGATAAGGACTAAAGGTATAATCAAAAGGAAGATTCAACAAATACAGTTTTAAAATATGTTCACTGAAATTATGATACTTCACATGCACCTGATTTCAAGATATGTTAAAATACAGGGTGCTGCAGTTTAAAAATAAACAGTGTGAGGGAAATTGTACTTTTAACAATGAAATATGGTACTTTTCTATAGTATCACTATGTTACTACTAAAATGGCCACATTACCAGTATGCATACTTTAAAAATGAATATAAAACAACCTGATATCCAGCTGACAAGGAAAAGGAGATGCATTTAGATACTTTTATCAGCATTGCTTTCCATCCAAACAACTGCAGTAAAAGTAAACACTGAAATGCAGTGAAGGAGAAAGTACAGTAAATGTAGGCAAGACTAAAGAGAGCTAACAGAGAATTATTATGCCCCTCCCCTCTTCAATACTAGCATACTACCAAATTCATCACTGATGAGCTTTCCAAGGTCTGCACAGGTCACATCTGCAAAAGTTTATTTTTCCTTTGCCTCCTCATAGCCACACACTTCTCCAGTTGCTCTACAAATACCTACTCATCTACTTTCATACTGGGAAACTAGTAAACCACCCCAACTTTATATTAAATGTCTTAAACATGACTCACTTTTGAAAATCTAAGACACAATGTAAATATAAAAAGGATAGTTCATGAGTGAAGACCAAAAAGGTCACTTTCTGAATAAGCTTATTGATAAGGAATAAAATTTAGAACTTCATGAAAGTTCTAAAGTAAAATTTTCTTATAACATAATTTTACATAAATAAGCCAACTGCCTTTTTGGTCCTTCTATCTTTCCTATATAACTAATATCAAATTAGGAATAAATCAGAATTCAAGTAGAATGTGCTATCCATTAAATTAAAAATTTAGTATTGAATTTTATTTTCTCACAGGAATGAAAAATAGGATTCATTTTCTCTGGAAAATAAAAGCAGCTGAATAAAACAGCCCAATAAGAAGCTAGAAAGACACGCAGTAAAGACATAGCATTTGCTCTTACCTCCATGCTCTGCAAATTTGGGATTAGAGAGGATTTGTTTACAGAACTTCAATCCATTTCTATACTGTTTATGTTCATAACATCTCTGTCAAAACAAAAAATAAATAATGCGAGTTTACCAAGAAATGCAAAATGCAAAACCTTTAAATTCAATGTTAAATTTTTAATTGTTAAGTGTATTAAATGTTATTTCCATATTCTTGTAAGTTCCACTAAAATGCCACTAAATATATAAAAACCTCAAATACAGAAAGTTAAAGTCGTTGAGACATAAAATAGATTCAAGTATCATAAGCTAACTCCAAAAAAAACAAAAAATCTAACAACTGAGTGTCATAGAAAAGTGAAAATAATAAAAGATATAGGAATCATATTTTTAAACATTTTCTTTTTATAAAGAAATGAAGTCTTTTAAGCTTAAAGTGCTAAAGAAGTACATACAAAATATCTAGAATAAAAGACTCAAGCTATGGCATATCACAGTGACATTTCAAAGCCTTGGAATAAAAAGATACTAAAAGCTTTGGCAGGGGTGGGGCAACAAATAAGTCACATAAAAAGGGTATATAATCAGAATGACACTGAACTCTTTATTCCCTTGTTGTACTCATTTTGGTGGTGCTAGGGACTGAACCGAGGGACTCAAACCTGCAGAGCATGGATGCTGAGCCATACCCCTAGCTCTTTTATTTCACATAAATGAAATATTGTTAACAAACAAGAGAACAAATACACAGCCTTCAAAATCAGAATGAAAATTAAGTCTCAATAATCCCAATCACTCAGGAGGCTAAAGAGAGGAGGATCACAAATTCAAGGTCAAGTCTCAGCAATTTATTGAGGCCCTAAGCAACTTGGCAAGATCCTGCTTCATAAAAAAAACAAAAAACAAAAAACCCTGGGCTCAATCCTCAATACCATATTTAAAAAAAAAAAAAAAACACATCCCCATACCCAGCCAAATGACTATTAATTAGATATATAAGTAAAATGACATTTCAAAGTATTTTCAGAAAGCTAAGCTTTCATCCTCATATACTCTTAAGCTTTTTGCTTAAATAATTTTAGTTGTTGATGGACTTTTATTTTTCATTATTTATATGTGCTGCTGAGAATCAAAACCAGTGCCTCACCCATGCTAAGCAAGCATTGTACACTGAGCTATAACCCAGCCTGCCTTAAAAAGCTTTTAAAAAGGAATTCAGACAAAATTTAAAAAGACAAGACTAAGTACATAAGGACTCTAATACACAAATAAGAATTATAGCAACTTCAAATTGGAGCAAGAAACTAAAAGATTCCCATAGGTTTCTACTAAGAGCAAAAATGCACCTGTTGTGCTTGATGACATGGAAAACTATTATAAGAACAAGACAAATACATTCGGGAAAAATGAGCAACAAGTCTATAGAAAAATCAAGCAACTGATTAAATGGAAAGGTATTGACTCCAAGGAAAACAAACACTGGTATATAAAAGGATATGCAGGAGATGTGGCCTAGCATATATGAGGCACTGGGTTCGATTCTTAGCACCACATGTAAATACTAATAAAATAAAGATCCATCAATGTCTAAATTTTTTTTAAAAAAAGGATATGCATATTTAGTGAGATATCTGACCTAATAGTGAACAATATATGCACAATTAGAAAAATGTAAGTATTCAGTACTGGTTTATCAAAACTTTTGATGTAATTATGAAGGAGAAATGAGAAAAAAGAAGTAGACAATTGTGTCAATGATTTTTATTAATCAATAGTAAATAAACATCTTTAGAGTTACATATCAAGAAATGATGATATTGGGCTGGGGCTATAGCTCAGTGGTAAAGAGCCTGCCTTGCGCGTGGTAAGGCACTGGCTTTGATTCTCAGAACCACATAAAAACTACAACTAAATATTTAAAAAAAGAAAGAAAGAAAGAAAGAAAGAAAGAAGATATATTACTAAGCAATAAGGGGGAAAAAACAGAAAATAAAGAGCTTAAGTTGCTTGATTCTGGACTGGAAATAAAAGGGGGCAGAGGAAAATAAGGGAAATATTTTTCATCATAAACCTTTTACAGTTAATTTACACAGGTATCAAAATATGGTTTCACAAGTGCTGGCGAGGATGTGGAGAAAAGGGTACACTTGTGCATTGCTGGTGGGACTGCAAATTGGTGCGGCCAATTTGGAAAGCAGTTTGGAGATTCCTGGGAAAGCTGGGAATGGAACCACCATTTGACCCTGCTATTGCCCTTCTCAGACTATTCCCTGAAGACCTTAAAAGAGCATGCTACAGGGATACTGCCACATCGATGTTCACAGCAGCACAATTCACAATAGCTAGACTGTGAAACCAACCCAGATGCCCTTCAATAGATGAATGGATAAAAAAAAATGTGGCATTTATACATTATGGAATATTACGCAGCACTAAAAAATGACAAAATCATGGAATTTGCAGGGAAATGGATGGCACTAGAGCAGATTATGCTTAGTGAAGCTAGCCAATCCCTAAAAAACAAATACCAAATGTCTTCTTTGATATAATGAGAGCAACTATGAACAGAGTAGGGAGGAAGAGCAGGAAAAAAAAAGATTAACTTTAAACAGAGACATGAGATGGGAGGGAAAGGGAGAGAAAAGGGAAATTGCATGGAAATGAAGGGAGACCCTAATTGCTATACAAAATTACATATAAGAGGTTGTGAGGGGAATAGGAAAATAAACAAGGAGAGAAATGAATTACAGTAGATGGGGTAGAGAGAGCAGATGGGAGGGGAGGGAAGGGGGGATAATAGGGGATAGGAAAGGTAGCAGAATACAACAGTCACTAATAGGGCATTATGTAAAAATTTGGATGTGTAACCGATGTGATTCTGCAATCTGCATTTGGGGTAAAAATTGGGAATTCATAACCCACTTCAATCTAATGTATAAAATATGTCAAGAGCTTTGTAATGTTGTGAACAACCAATAAAAAAAATATATATATATGGTTTCAATGCCAGGCATGGTGGTGCACCCCTGTAATTCCAGCTTCTCAGGAGGCTAAACCAAAGGATCACAAGTTCAAAATAAGCCTCAGCAATTCAGCAATGCTCTAAGGAACTTAGAGAGACATTGCCTCAAAATAAAAAGTAAAAAGGGGTAGTGATGCTCAGTGTTTAAACAACCCTCAGCTAAATCACTAGTGCCAAAAAAAAAAAAGTTTTTATAAAAATATTTTAAAGAATTTTATTTTTCAGGAAAAAAATATGTATCTCAAAGATAATTGATGCCATTCACCACTATACATTTAAACAAATTTACTCATAACTTCTTGAACAATATACTCAAATCTGGGAGAGACAGTTAATGCAAGTATAAAATTGAAAATATATAGAAACAAAACAGTGAAAATGTGAACTTTTACATTCAGCATGAAGAAATCATTGATTATACTCATGCTACAACAAACTAGAGTGAGATGTATTCACTATCTCTACTTTGCTATTTTGCATCTCAAACCTAATTACAACACAACTAGTTTTCTTCCCTAAAAGGTATTCTTTTTATTAAGTCTTTGCCATCTCAGTAGATGCCTTCACCTCAATTCACTCATCTAGCTGGTTAAGCAAAACTAAATAAATATCTTTGGTGTTTCTCCTTCCCTCGTATTTCTGTTCTCTAGTAAGAACTGTCATCTCCAGCTTCTGTGCAATAGCTTCCTAACCAGTGTGTATAATTTCTCTGCCCTCCAACATTCTAGGAGATGAGAAGAGGGAACAACAGCAGGAGTAACTTGGGAGCTATCATTAATCACAAGTGATCAAAAAAAATAAAATATAGGACCAATAAACAGTATTTTGGATTCCTCTATTTAATAGCAGAGAGCCCAAGAACAATTTGCTTTTCTTATAATAAAATGCATTGAAAGAAGCTGTGATAAAGACTAAGCTGATTAAAAGGTTTTTTTTTAGTTTTTCCTGTTTCTGAAAACTACATATGTACAAAGAGCCTAAGTGTTATTGTGCATAAAACCACCATTAAAGTATGAAAAATTATTTCCCTAAAAACATAGAAAGCTTTCTAAGATCTAGAACAAGATAAAATGGCCATTTTCACCACTTCTATTTAACACATACTGGAAGTTCTAGCCAGAGCAAATAGGCAAAACAAAATTGGAAAAGAATAAGTCAAATTGTCATTGTTTACAGAGAACAAAATCTTACATGAAGAAAACTCCCAAGAGCACCAAATAACTTTTAGAACTAATAAATTCAACAAACTTACAGGATACAAAATCAATGCACAATAATCAGTACTGCTATATGCCAATAGCCAATGGTCTAAAAAAAAA